AGCCACGACCAGCACCCCAAGTCCCCCTATGGGATCCCGGCCTATGGAGTTGGACCATAACTTTCCATCTCGAATCTCACAGCAACCCGTGCCCAGCTTCACCCAGTGCGATGACCTGTGGCTGGATGTGGCTGGATGTGGCTGGATGTGGCTGGATGTTGTCCGCTCATCTGACTCATCTGACATGTCACTTGGCCAGGTCTAGATCGGTTGGTGCCTTGCGCTCTGATACCTCACCTAGGGTTTTACGAGATGTTACGAGCCTTCCCTGTGCTTGAAGTGGGGCATGTGGAACATCGTCCTTGTTCTGCTGCAAAGTCTGCCCCATCCTGGGCATTCTGCCCACATGAATCTGCTTGTTGAGCTCTGTTGTGTCTATGCCTTATGGCTGTGGCGATGCCTGGTAGGGCTGGTGCAACAGCAACTCATCACTTGCCCAAAAACCCAAGAACACACAGGCCCTGCCACTCCAGTCTGAGACGTGGGCCAGGAGAGACCAGCTCAGGGCCAGCAGTTGAAGTTGTTGGCTCCTTGCAGAGTTGAAGGGTTCTTTATAGTAGTCTTTAGTTATCGCAGTGAACTCCCACCAAGTGCTCCGTTGCATGGTACAGTATGGCAGCTCCTTGCTTTATTCATCCGGATGATGTTGGACCGATGTTGGATGGTGTTTTAAAGCTGAGGAGCACCCAGCGTCAGGTCACCTGTCCTCGTTCGGCTCGCAGCGTGCTGGGCCAGATAGGACCTAAGCCAGGGACCACGATATCTGCTATCTTCCTGGGACCGCCCACATCACCAAGTCATACCAAGTCAGTGCTTGATGCATCCAAATGTTTTCTGCTTGGTGGTGAAGTAGAGATGGGTTGCGGTTAATCCCCCCTTTGCCAAGACGCAGAATTTTGCCGCCGCGACAATCTGGTAGCAGATCCTTGGGACTGCCCAATGGCCCGGTTGAAACGATGGACATCCAAGCTCTGGCTTTCTGGCTGAATGCCTTGGAATAGATATGAGATGGATCTTGATATCAGCTGGTACTTCATGGTGCTTCTGTGGTTTTCTTTTGCCAATAAGTCCCTAAACTCTCACTCTCATGCAAAAAACAAGCTGCCCGGCAAGACACCCAATCACCATCGCTCTCGTAGTTCAGTTCAATAGTTCAAGCCAAAGGAACGGGGGGCGAGTTCGCACTTGCCATTTTGGTAGAAGTTGAAGTGCATGCAGCCGGTCACCACGACACATCTTGCTTGGCCTGTGGACATGCGCTGAAACGCTTCAAGTGGCTGGGAAAAACTGTACTTTGCGTGTATCCTATAGATGGTCATTTCCTGTTGGATCTTTCGACATTTCTAGCAATACAGTGAGCTGGGCTCTGTCAGAATTGTGTCCGAAAACAAGCGGCACCCACTGGGTCCCCAGGCACAAATACGCTGAGTTTTCACTGGTTCGCCCTTGCTCTGGGATCAGGGGCCAGTACCTGCGAAGGCGAAACTTCGATGCAAGCGTCCATGCTGCCTGAATGTGCAAAAGCACTTTCATATTTTACATTTGCATATAGTTGCATGCAATGCATGCATCTGTTGTAGGTTTGTATAGTTTCACTATGTTTCAGTGCCAGGATTGAAGGCATCAAAGGCCAATAAAACGACCAAGCGGCTGAGTGTTGTTCCAAAAGCACTCGTCGTGCGGAAAGGCCCCCGTCTTGGTGGATGGCTTTTTTTTAGCCATCGCTGCTTTTGGGGCTGTGGTGGGAACTGCGGCCTTCAAGTTATTCAGCAAATAGTATCCTGGTGGAAAAAATCATGCACCAAGGTCGAGAAGGGCATGGATATGCATGGACTGTTGGTTGCTAACATGTTGCCAATCTCAGATTCCCATTGCAGAAGCCTCCGAATCAAGCACACATTCAACATCATTCTACCTTTGAACCCCCAAGAAGTCACCAGGAATCTCGCCCAAACAGTCCAGTTCGGTCCTCTGTACATTGGTAGGACTTTGCTTGGTGTGGGCACCGGTCGCGGGCAGGCTCGAAGCCCACAGCCTGGAGATCTGCGGTTTTTGGAGGGGGTGAGGAACTCCTGCATTTTGGACACAGCCATGAACACGCCATTGCTAGGTCTATAGTGACCAATGAGACCAATGAACATGTCACCACAACTTCTTCGACCCCTTGGTACATCACAGCCTGAGGTAGCGTGCACATTGATGGCGGTGCAAGAGGGATGTCTCGTGCAAGTGGCCTCAAAGCATGTGGGGGGATAGTATACGCTTGCGAATTTCAACACGGAACCTAGCAACTAGGCAAACGGTTTTACAACTGTATGTAAACGGGTCAACTGATCCTTTGAGCGTTTGTGGGAGTCCAGGCTGAGTTTCAAGGTGCACATGGATACACAAGCGCTATGATCTTGTCGCCTTGCACTGTGAGAAGTCGCTCTGCATGAAGCCCAAGTTCTTACATTGCTCGTCTGACCAAATCTGATCCAGTGCTGCTGACCATTCGGTTTCTCCTGAGCCCAGGATCTAGGAAATGCTCCGAGCTGAGCATTTTGCTTTCAGAGCTGAGACCTAGAAAAGAATGAAATCCGAGGCTTTCAATGATTTCACCTAACCTTTCAGAAAGGTGTTCACCTAACCTGATAAATCCCTCTAAGTCTTGCAAGCCTTGGCATCATTGGTGCAACCTATTGGCAACTCATTGGCAGCCTAGGCTCCAGGGTTAGGACTGGGAACCAAAGTGGCACCAGTGACAGATTGAGGGGTCAAGCTCGAATGGTCTTCGTGGTCTTCCGGTTGCTGGTTTGGAGCCTGCAAGCTGTACTTGTAGACGTCCGTGCCGTTCCTGGTGATGTCAAGTCACACCGGGAAGAGCAGGCATTATGACTCAATTATGACTGTGTTTGTTACCCACCCTGAATCGCCTGAATGCTTTTGCAGAGGGCAGTTGGGAGGCCTGCGATGGTTTCAACAGTCCAAAAAATTGTGCAAGCCGAACTTATCTTCAGGACTGCTAAGAACCGAACAAGAAAGATTACATTTCCTAATATGTCCAATCTGGCATGTTTCAATCATGTTTGATGACTTGTGGAGCTCCCCTTGATTATCAAAGTGCGTTTTTTTTCACATTACTGATTGCCGACTTTGCCCAGGGTCTGGCCATGCTGACACTGTTCGGGCTCCAGGAGTCTTTTGCACAGCTGCACTTCGGACCAAACCTTGGGCTGAAGCGGCTGCTTGGCGGCTCAACCAAGGTGACCCATACCCTACAAAAATCTTGTGGGGATCCTCCATCTAAAACTAGCGTGGGTACCAGCCTCAAAAAAGGCCATTAAATACCAGTACAATCGCAGCGCATGTAAAATATAGAAAATATATACATTGAGGGCCCACCATCAAGACTTCATTTTTCATGTGCGGATGCGGTCCCAAAAGCGGGCCCTGGTGGCAGCACCGTTCGAGCACAAGCCGACTGACAGCCAAACGAACTCTCCACTACCTAACTGTGAGGAAATCAATTGCAACGGATTATGGAAAGACGCTAGCTACGTTCTGTGTGCTTTGGCAATGTGGACACCATACAGCGCTAAAACTTGCCTCGCAACTGTTGGTGGTGTATTAGAGGCTTTCAGCCTTTCCTCCTTTTCACGCGCTTTGGCTAATACCTTTGTATTCGGCCAAAGTGCGCAAAGGGTCGTCGTGACTTCCTGACATGCGGGTTTGAGGGTCGTAGGTGTGGCCTTGAAGGGTCGTAGGTTGAGCTGTGAGGGTCCTAGGTGCGCTCCTGGCATGCGGGTTTGAGGGTCGTATGTGTGATCTTAAAGGGTCGTAGGTTGAGCTGTGAGGGTCGTAGGTGCGCTCCTGGCATGCGGGTTTGAGGGTCGTAGATGTGGCCTTGAAGGGTCGTAGGTCGACTTGTGAGGGTGGTAGGTGCGCTCCTGGCATGCGGGTTTGAGGGTCGTAGATGTGGCCTTGAAGGGTCGTAGGTCGACTTGTGAGGGTGGTAGGTGCGCTCCTGACGTTGTACCACGCACCTCCCAAGATGCACGCAAGACAGCTTCCTGACATAAGCGTTGTAAAGGCGGCACGCTGCCAGAGAGCAAGAGGTCAGCATGGCGTCTTGCGGCTCCGGAAAGTGGACCCTTTTCACTGATTCAAAACAGCTTCTGCCCCAACTCCCCTCATAGTACTACAATATTAGGAATTCCCCTGACGTCGCATGATATCCCTTCTCTCATCCGTGTCCATGGCTCTATCCCGTCTATCCACTGTACCAAGGAGCCACGCACCAGTTGGCCTTCCTTGAGTACTCCACAACTCCTGGGAGCAATCCAGTACGCAAGTACCGACGGTCTCAGTTGGCGCTTCCGGAGCTGAATCAGTGCTAAGGAGCCACAAGAAGGAAAGTGCTGGCAAACGTCAATGCACTCTGCAAGGCTACCTGCATCAGAGAATCTGAGTAGCCAAGGGGCCACAGAGAATGGAAGGAACATGCTTACTTTTATACGTGACTGTTGTCCAGATTCACTCCCTGCACAATCTTATCAATCTTAACTGTAACACTAGGATTCTTTGTTGTGCACCAACAAATTCAAACAAAAACGACGGGAAAACATGGCCAAAACATCTGTTCAGTTGATTACTTGATGTTACTTGATGTTCGAAGGAAGTTTAGAAGTCAAACTTCCGACAATATGGACAGATGAAAAGCAGAGCAGGGAAGAGGCAGAGAGAAGAGAAAGATCAGAAGAAAGAAGAGTAGAAGAGAAAGAGTCAGAAGAAAGAAGATGCAGATGCGCGAAAAGGTAGGAAAGCCGCGAAACACTGAGTTTTCCAATGATTTGTGGCTCCGGAGGGTCGAAAAGTAGGCTCGATAAAGCGGCGGGTGCGGAGCCAGCTGGCCAGATGAGAGATGAAAAAGTGCACGCCATTGTGGCGCGAAGCACATTTCCAAGTCAAAATGTACAAAACACACCATTCTCGGACCTCAAGCACCTTTCGGTCCATCAGTGGATTCGCTCTGCCATCCCTGATTCACAACAACCAACCTCTCCTATAGGTTTCCTATTTTTGAAACTTCCGCCACCGCCTTGTGCGGTACTACTGGTAGATTATGGGCATGATCGAACCATATCGAACCCCAAATTGTTGTGCACCAACAAATTCAAACAAAAACAACGGCAAAACATTGCCAAAACATCTGTTCAGTTGATTACTTGATGTTACTTGATGTTACTTGAATCTCTCCTATGTCTCTTTAGCATTCTTTAGCAGTTTCGTGTCCCAAGCCACGACCAGCACCCCCAAGTCCCCCTATGAGATCCCGGCCTATGGAGTTGGACCATAACTTTCCATCTCGAATCTCACAGCAACCCGTGCCCAGCTTCACCCAGTGCGATGACCTGTGGCTGGATGTGGCTGGATGTGGCTGGATGTTGTCCGCTCATCTGACTCATCTGACATGTCACTTGGCCAGGTCTAGATCGGTTGGTGCCTTGCGCTCTGATACCTCACCTAGGGTTTTACGAGATGTTACGAGCCTTCCCTGTGCTTGAAGTGGGGCATGTGGAACATCGTCCTTGTTCTGCTGCAAAGTCTGCCCCATCCTGGGCATTCACAATGCAAATCCCATCGAATTTGCCACACCCTGAACACCCTACCATTTCCGTGCGACCCATGGAATCCAACGGATTGTGTTACGGGAGCACCACCTTCAAGTACAGCATACAGTGTACAGCACATTCCCACTTACAAGATCTTACAAGGCTTGTAACTGTTGTGCTCCAGGTTCCATGCCCAGGAGCCGAAGGAGACCCTTCTTATCCATCGAAGGTGCTGCTTGGGTGGTCGATGGCCTAGCTGAATTCAAAAAAGAACAAACCAGTTCTCACTTTTGTCTACATATAATATAGCAACACTTACAACAGATAAAAACGTACAATCCTACTAAAACAGTGATAAATCATGATAAATCATGATAAATCGCCTTTCTCTCCGTTTGGGGTTACTATCAGTGACCATTGGCCCACCTTGGCAGCCACTGGCCCTGAAGGAGTCGATCCACCCAGCTGGGTGGCTTCAAGTGGAAGAGCTGGTAGTCCTTCTGATAGACCTGGCCAGGACCATCCAGATATCAAAATATAATCAAGATATCATCTTCAGATCCATGAAGTGAAAATTGCTATCAAGATCCACCAATTTCATCCAAATTCCATGAAGATCCACAACATCCATGAAGATTGTATGCTTTGGATCGGTTCTAATACATTTTGGCGGGCGTTTTGAGTAGACCCATGAGCAAAAATATGAGTCAAGTGGATTAATGATCCCAAATAGCGAGATGGATATGGAAAATGGAGCATTTGAAACCACTAACCAGCTTGGGTTTGTCCATGCACCGGGCTGTGGCAAAGATGTTCTCGACAGAGCAAAGCTATTTCTGATCTGCAGTGGTTGCATCATTTGTCTGGCACCGGCGTGCGCTAAACTAACTATTGCAACTAGAAGAAAATCCTGCAAACTCGGCAAGTGATGCAAACTCGGCAGGTTGCGATCTGCTTATGTGTGTATCGACATGCCAGTGATTTCCTCGATTCAACCCCCCGGGGCACTGCCCGGAACCTCGATGAATTGTTTGACAAGGTCCGCCCCCAAAGGTCCATAGAAGTCCTCAACCTCAAGCAGAGGCATGGCGGCGAAAAAGAATTTGCCAGGCCATTTGAATGGATTTTACCATATTTGACCTATCACTACGGAGCAGCCATCTATAAAGCAAACTATACTCAAGTATATAGTATTGCCTCCATAAGCCATGCAGCTGCCAGCTGCCAAATGATCAAGTTGTTTTTTTGCACTCTAAGACCGCCTGAGCGCAGCTGGTGCCATCTAAGCAACGACACCCTGCGAAAAGGTGTTGTGCTGATGGTCTGCATTCACGTTGCTCGAGGCAAACTTCTTCGCTGGTGGAAACAGTCGATCAAAGCCTCAGGCTTCACCAAAACGTCACCATGACCAGGGGATACCAGGGGTATATCGGTATTATGCACATATACCGAATATTGCCCAATAGTAAAACCCTAATTGGGATGGTTTTATTATATCCCAAAATGTCACAGATTCCCCCTATATCCCCCTGTTATTGAGTTTAGAGTGGATGTGCAACACGGCTCGCGAAATCGAAGCAGCCACTCAGCCACTCAGCCACTCCACATTGGCTGGACCAGCCACTCAGCCACTCAGTCACTCAGAGTGGCTGAGTGGCTGACGCTCAGCCACTCAGCCGCTCTGCCAGGGTGGCTGGAGCAGCCACTCTGGCAGAGCGGCTGAGTGGCTGTGTGGCTGCACCAAGCCACTCTGGCAGAATGTCTCAGTGGGTGAATAGCTAGTGCAGCTTAGCCAATGGAGTGTAAGCAGCATTACCCAAACCTAATTTTTCTTAGGTCTGGGTAGTTTTTCAAGTGAGGTTTTATGCTAATTTAGGGTTTTTTCCTTTATCTTGTAGGCACTGGGGCATAATTCTCTAGAGGCAACATTCCCATATTCAGAAAATCTTCGCATACCATGTTTTCATCGTATTCCAGACCTGAGTTTTGGTATGTTACTTTGATAGGCATTTCAGCTCAATCTGGAGGGAACAGTTCGGCCATGGCGAATCCACTGAATGCCCCCCCACAGCTTTCTATCCCCTATGTCGTTCCAAAGCAGCTGTGGACGTTGGATGAATTGAAGGCTGCTTTGATAAGGGAGTTTCCTCATTTGTCTACCGAAGAAGGACAGGGTTGTCAAAGGTAACGTTTTTAAAGGTTGGCTGAGTAAAAATTAGCCAGTTTCTTCCCCGGGGCCTCACCCAAGGTGAACTTCGAAAAATAAAACCCACTGGTGTGCCCCTGGAAGTTTGGGCTGGCTTTGGGATTGGAATTTTGGTTCTGGCCCCGAAATTTCCCTCTGTGGTCTCTATACCAGCCACGCATACTCAGAATTCTTCGCATTCCATTATTTCTTCGCACTCCACATGGGACATCGCACTCCACAGCTAGGGACGTACACATACTGTAAAATTCACGCACTCTGTAAGATCTTCGCACTCCATAAAATCGTCGTACTCCGTGTTTTTTTTCTTTTTTTCCGTTTTTTTTGATAAAATCGCCTGGAATCACGTTTTCTGGAATATGGGGAAGATGGAGTTTTCGCGTGAGACGTCTGTAGTTTCACATACTATCGCATTCCAGGCCATTTTGGCCAAAAAAAAGAAAAAAACTCAGCAGGGTGAATTGTGATAATTTTCTGGTATATGATGGAAAAAACTTGGGTTGGATCCAAAAAGAAGGTCGAAGGGAGCCGAAGGGGGCCACGCATACTGTTTTATTTTCGCATTCCAGAAAATTAGCGCACTCCAGGGGTGGCATCGCACTCTATCGGTGGAATTATTTTGCACGGAAGAAAACAGGATCGTCGATGATTTGTGTTCCCAGATCCTGTTGTGCAGAGCTCTTTGCGGGGCCACAAAGATGTCAAGAAAGATGGGGATGGCGCTGCTGGTGAAAGGCCAGCCAAGCGTGCCAGAACATAAGCTGAAAGCTTATAAATTGGGTTTTGAGATCCTGAAAAGTGTAGATGACAAATTCCCATAAGAACGTTATTAACCCATTTTTGGAAAGCTCAACACTATTGATTATGACATTTCCAGAAATTGTTGAAAGTAAGGATCGTCCTTGGGGAAGAACATGTGCAGTCGACAACGTACGTGCCAGAAGAAAAGGAGTACGTGGCAAACTGTATGAAATACAAATTTCACCTGAAAGGGGTCTTCGCAATTCCCTGAAATTTCCCAGCTATTTTGGCATGGAATATGCTCGGCCCTGGAATATGGGCAAGAAATTGATAGAAATTCTTATGGATTGAATGGAATTTTATGCAAACATCTGTGTTAAAGGGTTTTGAGAAAGAAATCATTAGCCATTTGTGTTAAAGGGGTTCGCTCTGTGGGTCTCTGCGGATGTCTCTGCGGATCATCGTGGTGAAAGGAATGAGACATTTGGTTATAGTTCCAATGTTTTCATATATGTATGTTATTAAAGATTATATATAATATATATATATACATATAGCTAGACACAAACACACCTAAGTTCATACCATCCACCTCCATCATTTTATCATTTACAACAGTTCATGTTCACAACATTTCATATCATTTCATCACAGTATCAACACAAAATAAAACCAGATCATTTCATACATCATCATCCCACATCATTTCATCATCATCCATCATCACATAAATTCAAATCATAAAATTTCATCAAAATATTTCATCATAAATTTCATCATAATATGTTGTCATAATATAATATCATAAAATAATATCATAAATCTAAATCACCCATCTCTAACATTCCTATGTTCATATCACATTTTTTCATATATTATGATATGAAAAATTATGGGGTTAAAATGGTTAAAGTAGTTTAAAGTTTTTTGGTGTAATGGTGTTCCAGATTTGTTTCAATGTTGCAATTCTGGTTTCATCATCTTTTAAGTATTCCTCCATCTCTTTTTGTTTTTTCTCTTCTTCCTTTTTGAGTTTTTCCTTGTTGATATGCCTGTCGGTTTCAAAATGTTTGGACAACCTGCATTGTTTCACATTCCGCTGGCAAATGTCGCAGAATACTTCCTTTTGATTATACTATACTGTGTTACTCTCCTTTTGTTTGTCCAAGCATTCAATACACTGTCTATTCATTCCATTGAATTCGTCACCATTTTTATTTTTCTTACACTTTGTGCACTTTCTACTCCCCATACTATTATAAGGTATTAGCGTTTTAAGTGTGTTTCCTTATATCATAAAAAATCATCCAAATCTTTTTTCCCAAAAATCATCATTGATTTCATTTAACTTTTTTCTATTCCTTTCCCTCTTCTGTATCTTTGCCTCCTACTCCTTTGCGTATCTGCAAAAATATATTGTATTTGAACATTATGTCAATGCAATTGTCAACATACTCCTCTCCATTTTGGTTGTTGGTGAAGGGCTCTATGCTTGGAAGTTGTTTGACATCACCTGCACCTATTACAATCAAATGAGGGTGTTCATTGCAGAAGACTCTTATCTTATTCAAGATATAAGGACTTGACATATAGATTTCATCAAAAAAGATTACATCATAACCGTTGTAATCATACTTTGGTAGCCTGCTTTCCCCCTTACACACAGGAACACTGAAGAATGTATTTTGGGTGACTGCATCGCATGGAACATCTTGCTTTTGCATATTTTGAGGAACAACAAAAAGTGTATTATAACTTAGGTCGTTGAAATGTTTTCCAATGAAACTCTTACCACTTCCTGCAAATTTTACCCTAATCATGACTCTCTTCTTCCTTATTGCTGTGTTTTTTAATTGCGTCTGTGTCCCATTCATCTTGAACCTGAATCCTTTCGCTTTTGTAAATCGGTATGTTTGGAATCTCATTGTGGTTCCATCCATAGACTTCGGGAACAGGAACAGCTTTCTTGTCTTCCACTCTTCAGCCTCCTATGTCATTATGAAAATTCAATATCTTTTTAGCTTTCTTTAATTCCATCTTTGCTATGTGAAAGGCATCAGTCTTTACAGCGTAAACATTGATGTTTGCCTCCTTCAGCTTCTCATATGCATCATACTGCCTTTGGTCACTGACACTGACTATATAATATTTGGCGGTCTCGCTATTCTTCTCTATCTTTTGGTTGAATGAATCATTTTCACAGTAGTAGGTTTTGCCATCCTCGACGTTATAATCAAAATCTGTAAAACATGCACCGCCATTCGCATGTCTAAAAAAAGGTTTGTTGTTCTCATGAATCAGCTTCAATAGTCCAATCTTCTTCTAATTCTCTCCATCTAAAATATTCCTCATACTCTTCTTCGTTCATTGCGTAAATCCTCCCATCATATTTTTCTGGTGCTGTAATGCCTCCTTAAGATTATCAAAAATCCTACTGACAGTTTTTCTATTGTAAGACTTCTCAAGCAAACCAAAGGCTACATTAGCAATAGTTTTCAAGATTGTTTGATTCTCAAACTTGTCATCACTAATCACTGTTTTATATAAAATTTCAACCGCTTTCTTATTCTTCACTCTGTGAATGTATGAAGGTACTTTGTAAAATAGTATCTTCATTGCTACCCCTCTCTTCATCAATTCCTTCAGGTGCTTCCCATAATGATTATTTTTTGTTAAAAAACACATGTTGCCCTGACATGCCCTCACTATGAACAAGGTGTAGTTATTGAATTTGTTAAAATCATCTTTTTTGGTGTATGGCTTCCATACATCAAGATCTTTGAACACTGGAATGTGTGTAATCTTTGTTGCTTGGTATGAGTAGGCTTTCCGTGTGTCGATGCTACACATATCTTCCGGGGCAAGGGCAAGTTCATAGCCCTTGCTATCATAGTTTTTTGCCTTTAACAACCTTCCATTAGGAACAATGGTTCTGCATTCATCCAATGCTTTAAGGTCAGTTTCGTTATAGTATGACTTATGATTTTCACTGAAAATTGACTCATGAAACTTGAACATTGTCGCGCTGACTTTGTTGTATTATTCCTCTATGTCCACCAAGATATCATCATTGACTCTATCATGGTCACGGTGCTGTGTTACAATGCTGTAGGTTACCGTTTTCTGTTTCTTGACTATCTTGTGTGTTAAATCAAACTTGATTTCTACTGCCCTACCTGCCTGTGTGCCTAACCTGTGGTTCATATCCTGCTCTTTTCATGTCATAAATTGTTTGCTCAAATCATTGCCTTTTAAAATAAACCTAAGCTGTATTCCTCTTCATCCTTTAAACTTATCCGCCGACCCCGGCCTTCGCCAAGGCCGGGGCGGCGCCTGGGACCACCGCAGGTGTGGACCTTGTCCTCTTCCAAACCCTCCAAACCTTTACCCTTAAGCAGCTTCCCCAACAGGCACCCCAGGGCCAGGGCCACAGCAATGACTTTCTATGAGCTTTCAAAGCTGCCGTTTGCCAGCCCGCAAAGGCTCCAAACGCCTCCAAAATTCCAACCCCCCAGGGCCAGGGCCACAGCAATGAGACTTTTTATGAATTTCAAAGCTGCCGTTTGCTAGCCCGCAAAGGCTCCAAACTTTCCAAAACAAAATTCCAAACCCGCCAAACCCTCCAAACACCGTCCCCAGCAGGCACCTCAGCTCCACAGCAATGACTTTCTTGATGCTTTCAAAGCTGCCTTAACAGAGGCCAGGGCCACAGCAATGACTTTCTATGGGCCTCAAAGCTGCAGTTTGCCAGCCTGCAAAGGATCCAAACTTCCAAAATTCCAAACACCTTCCCCAACATGCACCCTAGGGCCCAGGCAACTTCCCCAACAGGCACCCCAGGGCCAGGCCACAGCAATGGCTTTCTTAGGCTTTCAAAGCTGCCGTTTGCCAGCCCGCAAACCCTCCAAAACTCTCCAAACCCTCCAAACCCTCCAAACGCTCCAAACCCTCCTAAACCCGCCAAACCCTCCAAACACCGTCCCCAGCAGGCACCTCAGATCCACAGCAATGACTTTCTATGGGCCTCAAAGCTGCCGTTTGCCAGCCTGCAAAGGATCCAAACTTCCAAAATTCCAAACACCTTCCCCAACATGCACCCTAGGGCCAAGGCCACTTCCCCAACAGGCACCCCAGGGCCAGGCCACAGCAATGGCTTTCTATGGGCTTTCAAAGCTTCTTAGGCTTTCAAAGCTGCCGTTTGCCAGCCCGCAAACCCTCCAAAACTCTCCAAGCCCTCCAAACCCTCCAAACGCTCCAAACCCTCCAAAACCTGCCAAACCCTCCAAACACCGTCCCCAGCAGGCACCTCAGATCCACAGCAATGACTTTCTATGGGCCTCAAAGCTGCCGTTTGCCAGCCTGCAAAGGATCCAAACTTCTAAAATTCCAAACACCTTCCCCAACATGCACCCTAGGGCCAAGGCAACTTCCCCAACAGGCACCCCAGGGCCAGGCCACAGCAATGGCTTTCTTAGGCTTTCAAAGCTGCCGCTTGCCAGCCCGCAAACCCTCCAAAACTCTCCAAACGCTCCAAACCCTCCAAAACCCGCCAAACCCTCCAAACACCGTCCCCAGCAGGCACCTCAGATCCACAGCAATGACTTTCTTGATGCTTTCAAAGCTGCCTTAACAGGGGGCCAGGGACACAGCAATGACTTTCTATGGGCCTCAAAGCTGCAGTTTGCCAGCCTGCAAAGGATCCTAGGGCCAAGGCAACTTCCCCAACAGGCACCCCAGGGCCAGGCCACAGCAATGGCTTTCTTAGGCTTTCAAAGCTGCCGTTTGCCAGCCCGCAAACCCTCCAAAACTCTCCAAAACTCTCCAAACCCTCCAAACCCTCCAAACGCTCCAAACCCTCCTAAACCCGCCAAACCCTCCAAACACCGTCCCCAGCAGGCACCTCAGATCCACAGCAATGACTTTCTATGGGCCTCAAAGCTGCCGTTTGCCAGCCTGCAAAGGATCCAAACTTCCAAAATTCCAAACACCTTCCCAACATGCACCCTAGGGCCAAGGCAACTTCCCCAACAGGCACCCCAGGGCCAGGCCACAGCAATGGCTTTCTTAGGCTTTCAAAGCTGCCGTTTGCCAGCCCGCAAACCCTCCAAAACTCTCCAAACGCTCCAAACCCTCCAAAACCCGCCAAACCCTCCAAACACCGTCCCCAGACCACCGCAGGTTGGACCTTGTCCTCTTCCAAACCCTCCAAACCTTTATCCTTAAACAGCTTCCCCAACAGGCACCCCAGGGCCAGGCCACAGCAATGGCTTTCTATGGGCTTTCAAAGCTGCGAGGAAAAAGTAACCAAAATCATCATTTTCTATGCGTTTTCGCTAGGCATTTACGGGGTGCAATTTTGGGGTTTCTCCGTCCTTCACTGCCATGGTGTTTTCCCATCCGGGGACCAGCAGCAGCAGCAGCAGCAAAAGCTTCTGCAGCAGCAGGAGTAGGCAGCAGCAGGCAGCAGCCAGCACCAGCAGCAAAAGCCTCTGCAGCAGCAGGAGTAGGCAGCAGCAGGCAGCAGCCAGCACCAGCAGCCAGCAGCAGGCAGGAAAAAACATGAGGTTACAATGACAGTCCTAAAAACGGAGGGTCCTTGACACTCAAAGTATATATCAATCCATCCGTCTTTCTTCCTATGCCACTATCTATCTATCCAACAATCGATCTATCCATCTGTTTATCCAACTGTCTATCTACCTATCTGTCATCTATCTCTCTCTCTCTCTCTTTCTCTCTCTCTCCCTCTCTCTCTCTCTCTCTGTCCCTCTATCTATACATCTGTCCAACAATATCTATCCACCTGTTTATCAAGCTGTCTATCTACCTATCTATCAATCTATCTCTCTCTCTCTCTATCCCCCTATCTATCCATCAATCTATCATCTATTCACATGTCTACCTGTCTGTCTGTCTGTCTATCTATCTATCCATCCATCCATCCATCCGTCCATCCGTCCATCCATCCATCCATCCATCCATCCCCATCCATCTATCCATCCATCCATCTCTCCCTCTCCTCTCTCTCTCTCTCTCTCTCTCTCTCTCCCTCTCTCTCTCTCTCTCTCTCTCTCTCTCCCTCCACAGTCCCCCCCAAATAAAGGGGGGTCGGCGGCACCTGGGCGCTAGCCCATTCTATATGATCATGCCATGACAATGTGAGTTCTTTGTCTGAAAACAGGCTATCCATGGCTATTCCTAAAGCCACTGGTTCATCAGGTAATCATCACATGTCACCGTCACAATGCACAGGCCTCTGTCAGCAGTGCAGAGGCCCAGCGCTTCGCCTTTACGGCAGGAGCCTGCTGAGGTTGCAAAGGCTGCAGCGGCTGTTTCAGTTAGTGAGTTTGAAGGTATCTTAAGATTACAGTAAGATGGTATGACCTGACAAGATGATACATATGATACTATGAATTCGAAGGTCTATCAACTGAAAATGGGCGGCAAGCAACCAAAAAAAAACACAACTCACAAAGGCCTCTGTGGTATGCGATGGTGAACCAGGCAGGATAAACCCAGAGCTCTCCGGATTCTCAGCCTGCAGAGTGTCTTCATAGAGACACTCACGTCCGTCCAGACTTGTCCAGACCCTTAAATCTTTCTCGGTCTAAACATGTCTAAACTGGTCTGAGCTATTTCGACACCCAATTTCTCGCAGCTCCACCCCCACCGTGCTACATGCGTGCCTGTTCTACCATGTACAAAGATTACGCTTTCTCACACTTCTGAATCTAGGGGGTTGCTGAACATGAGAAGTCCCGTCAAAACTCATGTCACAATAGTCGTTTTCACATTCAAATGATGCCTGCAGCAGGCTGACAAGCGAGGGCTCACCATGAGCAGTGCGTGCTATCGCTGCTGGAGTCTTTCCCTGCCTCAAGGCCACAGAATCATGTTTGAGTTGCCCGAATCCGTGGTCGGTTCCCGCAAAAGCCCAAAAAGAAAAAGCCGTTCCCAGAGTACCCAAGTACCAAGGACAAGATCCAAAACACAACTACCAGATTTTACCAATAGCACTTACTAACAACATTTCCGCTTGTATTGAGGCCGGCACCGGTCCCGTGCGAAGAGGTCAGACCCACTGCTAACCAAGACCAGCACTGCCTTCGCCTGCGATGCTCACATCAAGAATCCAATGGTAAGGAGTGCTGCGGAGAGCTGCGATTACCCAGAAAGGATCAAAACAGGAGTGACAGTGATGCCATTGATGTCTATCTCATCTATCTCTTTATCTGACTTCTGTCTGCTGGGTACCATCTCAGTGAATCTATACGAAGTATCAGGATGTTTGCACCATGTTCACCCCGTCTCCGGCTCTTGCCACGCCTTTCGGACATCACTTCCCTCCAAAGCTGCCGTTGCAGCAGCAACGTGCAAAGGAGTAACCTGCAGCATCCAGGGCGACACTGTGGAAGGTCCCTTTGAAGGTCTCTTTGTCTGTGGTCCCATCCTCTCCCCTCATCTCTTCAACTAGCAATGTGTGTGTGTGTGCGTGTGCGTTAACCTTGGGCACTGTAGCATTTGACTGGTACGTTTAGGTTTAGGCGTTTAGATCCATTCAGAAGCTCTCGGAAGCGAACCCCAAAGTTGTTGGCGGCGGAAGGATCAGCTGCTGCCTGCACTATCAAGCTATGTCGAAATATGGCAAGCCCCATTTTCAGTGAATTTTTTCTTTGATCTCATCCCACCTGAAGCAAGAGCTCTATGGTCGGCAATTGTTGGTAGCAGCAAGCCAGGTGTAGTGGAGTGTCGGCTTCATCCTTTGGCATAAAGAAATGTGCAAAAAAATATATGTTTGGTGTGCAAAGCCGAGAACAGTGCAATTTTCACAACCACATTCCAAGGCTTGCTTCAGGCTGAATTTTTGTGACATCTTGACTGCAGTGCAACCAGGAAGCTGTTAGAACCGTTGGACTTGCTTGTGCGTTCAACCTTAAGCGAAGGCTTGTGACAAAGTGGTCAAAGATCCAAAACTTTGAGGCAGCTGTGGCATGCCAAAAAGAGGGCAATGAAGCGCTAGGGACTGTAGAGACTGTAGGGGTCAGGGTCTCAAGGCTTCTGGAACACTGAATCATCCCACAAGCCATGCCTATGGATATTACTGACACAGCACTGTCCCTACGAAGGTACATAACGTTGTTGATTCAGTTTCAATGCATACAAGGAGCAGAAGCTGGGAGATGTGCACACTTGAGGAAGCTGCAATGTGCAACCTCGCAACAATCTTTGAAAATCCACTCAAATGTTTCATTCAGAAAAGGATTCCAAAGAATTTATATACTTTGGGCACGTGGAACCGGTGAAATGCAAGGCGGGTGATTTGCCGCTTTCTGAACTGAGTGCAAGTAAGTGAGCGTGATTGGTTTTTCAGCAAGCACAACTTCACACACACAATGAGACACCAATTGAATGGGGTATCAAGATTGCTTTGTAGAGAGAACTTCTCAACTTGTGGGTTGCTTTAAGGGAAATTCTACAGGGAACCCTGGTTCTACATTGACATATTTCTACGAGTACCATCACAGAGGGGTTCCTGATTTTTTTGCCTCAACTAAATTCCAGATACTGCAGCTCAGCAGCGCTCGGTAGTTGTAGACTCCTTGCCATCTGAAATCAATATCCAAAATCAAGATCATTCTCATAAACAACGACAACGGATCTCCATGCGTTTACGGACAAGTTGGGATCCGACAGAGAATGTCTGCCTGCATTGTCTCACTATATACAGCGATATAAGCTGTACAACGACACACAACGACACACAACGACTGTTCGAGAGTTGCGCATGTCTTGTGAGGCCCCCCAACTTCCTGCCAAATCTGGAGACGCGTTTAGCTGCAGCAAGTACTCAACAACGCTAGCATGACCACAAAGAGCCTGGCATCGGCCCTACCGAACACATCAAAACTCAACACTCAGAGCACATCACACGTCAATGCTTCAACGATGCTTTAGAGATACTCAGCCAGGCGCAGAGATGTGTAGCGGAGCAAGTTCGCGTTGCCGCGAATGACATTTTTGGACCATGGCCTTACTTGCAAAAGAAAAATCAACAAAATTCAGCAGTGGTGCAAAATAAGCAATCGATTTCAAAATCAAGACAAGCCAAACTTTGGAATCTCACCAATCTCAGCACTTGTCACTTAGAAAATCTCAGGAGGTACTGGGGCTCTGAGGTTAGCGCTTTGGATCCACCTGTGGCTGCGGCCACCTTCTCCAATGCTCCCTGCAAGAGCGCTCGACAGCTAATCGCAACCATTCGACTGCTAAAATGAATTGTGATCGTATATGATAATATACAAATATGCACATACATACACAATAGAAGCAATAATATACATAATATACATAATATACATAATATACATAATATACATAATATACACTCTCGGACATTCGTCTCAAGTCACGCGAACGTGTGAGACCGGTGCGCACGCCGACGAGTATTTCGTGAGCGTACGGACCTTTTCCGCAAATTAATTAAATGCAGCTGCCCGCGTCGGGGAAAAGCGAATTGGGTCGCAAGTTCCTGCAAGGCCCAAGGGTCCAGACAGCAGATGCGACCAGAATACCTAGCAAATCGGCGCAAATTGCTGGCAGCGAGTAGGGGCGTGCCAGAGAATGCAAACCATCAAAAGTGAAAAATGAAGAGCGGGCCGTGCCTCACGAAGGCAAAACCCAGCAAATGCAATCAATATACGAATTTACTGGCCAACGGCGGTTGCGTTGGACCAGCGCAACGAGGTGGCCTTTCCAACATCAGTGGCTCTCCAGCTTGATCAGGTTCGAACCACGAATTGCAACACATCGATCATTTGCACACGGACTCCGTACCTGTCATTGGCAGTGCGGCTGGGGATAACGATGCCTTTGACGCCGTTCAAGCTGTCATCAGAGAGGCCGGTCAGCAGCACTTGGTCACCAACGCGAATGCATTCATTTGACTTGTCTGCCATTGCAATGCCTTGGCTGTCAGGTAGGACATCGAGGTTGCAAGGGGGGATTGCAACCTGACCACCATTCGACAAAAGCACACCGTAACGGCCAGAACGAAGGCACATGGTTACTGTACCGGTTTGCCCGTTCATACCGGCCGTCTTGAGGCCTTTCAGAACAACTTGTTCACCAGTAGCATATGCCGACTTTTGGACCTGTGGCAGGGCAAGATTGTGGTCGCAAACGTCATGCTTCACAGCTCCCAGGCCGGAAGAATTCCAATCAACCTGCAAATCTTCCAAGCCTGCCTGTTGCGCAAACATCTTCATAGCGTGTTCCAGCAACTCATCATCAAAGCCCCTTTCCTTGGTGCGCACCTCCACCACCCGGGCACGGGAAGGAGTCCGCTTTGTTGTGCGAACATGAGGTTTTCTAGACGAGCTCGAAGCAGATTGCGATATCTGATCTGAAAAGGGCAGGTGACGAGCCAGACAAATCTCCACGCGCGGGCCATCCGCAGGAACGTCACAAGACCCGTGCCCTGCCTGCGGGCGGTCACTGCCGAGAAATCCACAACATGGGCATGGCATGCACTGATGCAGGGCCATTGCGAAATGAAATGGCATCCATGCCTGCCACACAAACCAATGCCATAAGAATGGGTCCAGCACAGGAATCACAACGTAAGGTGAGTCAGCGCGGAGCGCCATGGCAAGGACGAAGGCAGATCGCCACGGAGATACAGCGGGGGAGCCTGAACTGAACAGCAAGACACAAGGGCGCGAACGCAAGGAGCCAACGCCGCCCTGAATCACGGCCGGAACGCCACAGCCGCCAGACGGAAAAGCCACGAACAGCACAAGACCCAAGCACCTGATGTGAGATCACAAAGGAAGGGCACAAGACGAATAAGGGGACAGAAACACCTGAGAGCACAAAAGCCAAGGACCTGAAAGAAAGAGAAACAGGACCTGAAAGCATATACATAATATACATAATAGGCATAATATTCATAATCTTCAGAGAGCGACGTTAGGCACTACAGGCCGTCGCCCGGAGGCCCGTTCCGCCCTGCACTGCCATGCTGTTTGGGTGTGGCGAAGACGCTTTTTTCGAGCCTTCGCACCTAAACGTTTCGAGGCGTGGCCATCAGGCAGCAAAAGCAAGAAGGGAGGGCAAGAAGGGCCAGGAGCAAGAGCAAGATAATATTAAAAAAATGTTCTTATATATATATATTGTGTGTATTACATATATTATATTATATTATATTATATTATATTATATTATATCATATTATATTATATTCTATATATATATGTATATATATCGTATTATATGATGTTATATTGTATTATATTATAGTATATTATGCTATATTGTATTATATTATAGTATATTATATTATATATTTATTATTATTATCATTGTTATCATTATTATTATTAGTATTAGTATTATATATGTTCATTATATCTATATGTATATATATCGATATATATATATATATTGTACATGTACGTGTATATACATATGCATTAAAATACATTGAAAATTATTGAGATAGTTGGAAAATCGACTACAAACGGCACTACATTTGGCACATGCGGCACTGCACCTCCCAGCAAGAGATGTGCAACGCGCTGCTGGAGCCGTATCTCTTTGTCAACAGTTGCAGCAGCTGATGTGCATGTCTCCTTAGAGCACGACACAGATGGCAAGACAAATCTGTCTCACACTCCAACCAGTACTGATTGCATGCCAAGCGTCATCGTATTTTGTACCGTCCGCAGTGTCATTGTGTGCGCTAACCTCCAAAGAATGCATGTTGCGCCAACATGTGCCAACATCAAGTCAAATGGAAAGGGTCTTTCCCCTTTGTTTTGATGCATAACGGCCTGCTCTCCCATTGCTCCGGAAGCATTGATTCATGACTATCGGAGTCCTACACTGTTGAGGCCACAGAATCACCGGATGTCAAAAGTGAATATGCGAGTTGTGCAAGAAGACAATCCTGGTTGCAAGAGGTCAGCCTTCAAACCTTAATCTGGGCTGAGCAAGTTTTGAATGATAATTTACTTCGAATACAAGCCCCTCAGCCTATCGCCGACCCCTGCCGACAGCAGGGGGAGCGCGTCAGAGAAGAGATTACAAGCAACAAGTGTTGCGCAGTGCAAGTGAGGGGCAAGCGAGGGGGGGACAGAAAGGGAAGCCAGGTGCAGAGTAAGAAGCCCAAAAAAGGAAGCGAGAAAGGAGGGGCAGTCTCAGCGAACGTAGCAAGCGAAAGAAGCACGAAACAAGAAGTTAGAAGCAAGAATGCAGAAGCAAGAGTAAACGAGCGACAGAAAGTAACGTTTGGCACTCTGGGCCGATCCGTCCTTCGCTGCCATGGTGTTTTGGTGCTGCGACAGGGTCCGGCAAAAGAACACAAGCAAGCTGGCAGGTGGCTGATGAAGGGCGGGCAAAGTCCAAGTTTGGAGCTAGTTTCTAGGGAGTTCCGAAAGCAACGTTTGGAACCATGGGCTGCCGACCGCGGGCCCGATCCGTCCTTCGCTGCCATGGTGTTTTGGTGCTGCGACACGGTCGTCCAAGAGAGCACGGGCAAGCTGGCAGGTGGCCGATGAAGGGCGGGCAAAGTCCAAGTTTGGAGCTAGTTTCTAGGGAGTTCAAGAAGCAACGTTTGGCACCATGGGCCGCCGCCCGCGGGCCCGATCCCTCCTTCGCTGTCATGGTGTTTTGGTGCGGTCCTTCGAGAGGACACGGGCAAGCTGGCAGTTGGCCGAAGGGCGGGCAAAGTCCACGTTTGGCTGCGACAGGGTCCTCTCACCGCAGTCGGGCAGGACGAAAGTCAGCTGCAAGAGGACACTAGCAAGCTGGCAGGTGGCAGGGCAGAAGGGCGGGTAAAGTCCAAGTTTGTAGCTAGTTTCTAGGCAGTTCAGAAAGCAACGTTTGGCAGTAGGGGCTGCGGGTCGGAAGCTAGCCGTGTCATTTGTGCAGTGGTGCCGTCACGGTCCACTTGTCCCGGCGGCATGTGCGTCCGGCACTGTTTTTGTGCTTGATTTGGATTCGTCCGTCGGCCTTTTCTGAATAAACGCTTGCCCCGCAGGTTGGGCATGCGTGTTTGTGAATGCGGCCGGTGACACTGCCGCCAGCGACACGGAAAAATTTCCCGCACGCAAACGAATCGCTTGCAGCAGGGGGAGCGCGTCAGAGGAGGAATTACCAGCAGCAAGGGCCAAGAAGTCATTACAAGCAGCAAGGGCAAGAAGCAAGAAGCAAGAAACAAGAAACAAGAAGCAAGAAACAAGAAGCCAGGAAGCAACAAGAAGAACAAGAAAACGAAGAAGACGAAGAAGAAGAAGATCCGTCCTTCACTTCTAGTCGGTTCAGAAAGTGACGTTTGGCTCTCTGGGCTAGCTTGGAGCTAGTTTCTAGTCGGTTCAGAAAGTGACGTTAGGCACTGGCACCGGGGCCTCGGAAGCGCCGTTGGGACCGGCATGCCATGGTGTTTTCCTGTTTCGGAAGCGGCCGCCAAAGCTGGCAGCTGCAGGCTTCAAAGGCTAGTTTTCTAGTCGGTTCAGAAAGTGACGTTAGGCACTGGCACCGGGGCCTCGGAAGCGCCGTTGGGACCGGCATGCCATGGTGTTTTCCTGTTTCGGAAGCGGCCGCCAAAGCTGGCAGCTGCAGGCTTCAAAGGCTAGTTTTCTAGTCGGTTCAGAAAGTGACGTTAGGCACTGGCACCGGGGCCTCGGAAGCGCCGTTGGGACCGGCATGCCATGGTGTTTTCCTGTTTCGGAAGCGGCCGCCAAAGCTGGCAGCTGCAGGCTTCAAAGGCTAGTTTTCTAGTCGGTTCAGAAAGTGACGTTAGGCACTGGCACCGGGGCCTCGGAAGCGCCGTTGGGACCGGCATGCCATGGTGTTTTCCTGTTTCGGAAGCGGCCGCCAAAGCTGGCAGCTGCAGGCTTCAAAGGCTAGTTTTCTAGCGGGCTCAGAAAGCGACGTTAGGCACTGGCACCGGGGCCTCGGAAGGGGCCGTGGCCCGCAGGCCCGGTCCGTCCCTCAGCGCCTTGCTGTTTGGCTGTGGCGCAGGCGCCGTTTTGGGTCAGACAGCTATAGTTTTCTTGTAAGTTCAGAAAGTGACGTTAGGCACTGGGGGCCGTGGCCCGCAGGCCCGGTCCGTCCCTCAGGGCCCTGCTGTTTTGGTGTGGCGAAGGTGCCGTTTGTGAGGCTTGGCGGCTGGAAGACAGCTAGTTTTCTTGTAGGTTCAGAAAGCAACGTTAGGCACTGGGGGCCGTGGCAAGAAGTCATTACAAGCAGCAAGGGCAAGAAGCAAGAAGCAAGAAACAAGAAACAAGAAGCAAGAAGCAAGAAACAAGAAGCCAGGAAGCAACAAGAAGAACAAGAAAACGAAGAAGACGAAGAAGAAGAAGATCCGTCCTTCACTTCTAGTCGGTTCAGAAAGTGACGTTTGGCTCTCTGGGCTAGCTTGGAGGCTAGTTTTCTAGTCGGTTCAGAAAGTGACGTTAGGCACTGGCACCGGGGCCTCGGAAGCGCCGTTGGGACCGGCATGCCATGGTGTTTTCCTGTTTCGGAAGCGGCCGCCAAAGCTGGCAGCTGCAGGCTTCAAAGGCTAGTTTTCTAGTCGGTTCAGAAAGTGACGTTAGGCACTGGCACCGGGGCCTCGGAAGCGCCGTTGGGACCGGCATGCCATGGTGTTTTCCTGTTTCGGAAGCGGCCGCCAAAGCTGGCAGCTGCAGGCTTCAAAGGCTAGTTTTCTAGCGGGCTCAGAAAGCGACGTTAGGCACTGGCACCGGGGCCTCGGAAGGGGCCGTGGCCCGCAGGCCCGGTCCGTCCCTCAGCGCCTTGCTGTTTGGCTGTGGCGCAGGCGCCGTTTTGGGTCAGACAGCTATAGTTTTCTTGTAAGTTCAGAAAGTGACGTTAGGCACTGGGGGCCGTGGCCCGCAGGCCCGGTCCGTCCCTCAGGGCCCTGCTGTTTTGGTGTGGCGAAGGTGCCGTTTGTGAAGCTTGGCGGCTGGAAGACAGCTAGTTTTCTTGTAGGTTCAGAATGCAACGTTAGGCACTGGGGGCCGTGGCAAGAAGTCATTACAAGCAGCAAGGGCAAGAAGCAAGAAACAAGAAACAAGAAGCAAGAAGCAAGAAACAAGAAGCCAGGAAGCAACAAGAAGAACAAGAAAACGAAGAAGACGAAGAAGAAGAAGATCCGTCCTTCACTTCTAGTCGGTTCAGAAAGTGACGTTTGGCTCTCTGGGCTAGCTTGGAGCTAATTTCTAGTCGGTTCAGAAAGTGACGTTAGGCACTGGCACCGGGGCCTCGGAAGCGCCGTTGGGACCGGCATGCCATGGTGTTTTCCTGTTTCGGAAGCGGCCGCCAAAGCTGGCAGCTGCAGGCTTCAAAGGCTAGTTTTCTAGTCGGTTCAGAAAGTGACGTTAGGCACTGGCACCGGGGCCTCGGAAGCGCCGTTGGGACCGGCATGCCATGGTGTTTTCCTGTTTCGGAAGCGGCCGCCAAAGCTGGCAGCTGCAGGCTTCAAAGGCTAGTTTTCTAGCAGGCTCAGAAAGCGACGTTAGGCACTGGCACCGGGGCCTCGGAAGCGCCGTTGGGACCGGCATGCCATGGCGTTTTCCCGTTTCGGAAGCGGCCGCGAAAGCTGGCAGCTGCAGGCTTCAAAGGCTAGTTTTCGAGTCGGTTCAGAAAGTGACGTTAGGCACTGGCACCGGGGCCTCGGAAGCGCCGTTGGGACCGGCGTGCCATGGTGTTTTCCAGCGGCCGCCAAAGCTGGCAGCTGCAGGCTTCAAAGGCTAGTTTTCTAGTCGGTTCAGAAAGTGACGTTAGGCACTGGCACCGGGGCCTCGGAAGCGCAGTTGGGACCGGCATGCCATGGTGTTTTCCTGTTTCGGAAGCGGCCGCCAAAGCTGGCAGCTGCAGGCTTCAAAGGCTAGTTTTCTAGTCGGTTCAGAAAGAAGCCACAAGAAGAACAAGAAAACGAAGAAGACGAAGAAAAAGAAGATCCGTCCTTCACTTCTAGTCGGTTCAGAAAGTGACGTTTGGCTCTCTGGGCTAGCTTGGAGCTAATTTCTAGTCGGTTCAGAAAGTGACGTTAGGCACTGGCACCGGGGCCTCGGAAGCGCCGTTGGGACCGGCATGCCATGGTGTTTTCCTGTTTCGGAAGCGGCCGCCAAAGCTGGCAGCTGCAGGCTTCAAAGGCTAGTTTTCTAGTCGGTTCAGAAAGTGACGTTAGGCACTGGCACCGGGGCCTCGGAAGCGCCGTTGGGAGCGGCATGCCATGGTGTTTTCCTGTTTCGGAAGCGGCCGCCAAAGCAGTCAGCTGCAGGCTCAGAAAGCGACGTTAGGCAGTGGCACCGGGGCTTCGGAAATGGTGCTTTCCCGTTTCGGAAGCGGCCGCCAAAGCTGGCAGCTGCAGGCTTCAAAGGCTAGTTTAAGCGCTGTTGGGACCCAACAGCTACTTTTCTTGACGACCTAGTTCGTTTGGTGCGGCCACCAGCCACTCGGTAGTCTTGCATGTGCGACCGCGCGCATTCGTATGCTGTGCTTGAATGCGTCCGTGGGGTTGCTTGGATTCCACCTTGGTGCTGCACGTGGGACATGCGTGCGTATAGCGAGTGCCAACACGTCCTGCAGCCACGCGAAACTGACGGCCACAGTGCCCCCGTGTGTTGACCTTCCCTGTGAAGACGCTGCTTTGCACACATTGCTGGCACGAAGGACATGCGTACGTGTAGACACGTGCGGCAGCTTGGCCGTCCTGGCTGGACTTGGCGCTGTTCCGTTCATCCTGTGCGCTTTGCATCTCTACTTCAAGTACCCCTGTCGAACTAGCGCTGCCTGTAGCCGTCGGCCACGCATGACTGGTTCGTTCGGCAGTTTTTTGTTGGATCTCTTTGCGGACTTCCTCCAATATGGCTTGGTGGCGTTGGCGCTGAACCCGTTGCCGCAGCGGTGTCACCCGTTGGTTCGCCCGACGGGCAATTTGACACACCAAGGCTAAGCTGATGCACGTGTTACAAAGTTGCGTGCCATTTTGACGGTAATCACAGTTTTCTTTCCAAGCAGTAAACTCTGCGTGTGGTTTTCGCTCTAAACATTCGGCGCAAGACCAATACCCCCGCAGCTTCAGGACGCGGTCGCGGCAACAGCATCGGTCAGCATGGCGAGCTTTCCAGGCGGCAGGGCCATAGTCTTTCTCTGGCTTGGGAACCCCACATTTGAAACATGGTTTCTTGACTTCGCATGTCAAACACACACGGAAAAAACTACATTGCCGTTGGCGATGCCTTTCTGGAAAATTGGCCTCGACATGCCACAGCTTGCAGACGTTGCATTGCCATGGCGTCCCGGCATCTGCGTAATGCTTTGTGCATTCGCGACAAACGCGATCTTTGTCGTCGCGCTTCCACTGGCCACAGGTGAAAGCTGTAGATGGCTTGCGCTCTGCGCACGTTGAACACGCGCGTTCTTCACAATATTTGGCCAGCAAGTCCTGCCAATTGATCGGTTCCCTGCGAAGATGTCGGAGCAGCAGGTCCCGCCCTAAACCAATACCTTTCTGGAATGGAGCGGCGTCAAAAGGTCGAAAGATCAGGAGCTTCTCACGGCCTTGCACGCGGGTAATGGCGACGTAGACGGTAAATGGATTTCCCCTTGGCCCTAAAAGACATCTCAGACCTAAAAGTCCATCATCACAACGGACCGGGCCAAGGACAGGCATGTTCGACGGCAACGTGCATCTCGATCTACTATCTTGCATCTATATTGCATCTATCTCGCATAGGCTTGCTAGTTTGAAGATGTTTGAAGATGTATAATTACACCATGATGTAACGACCCTATCGATGTGCTACCTAGGGTAATGACACTGGGGATGACTCTACAAGTAGGATGATCAGATGGTTTCTTTGATATGGTGCTTGTGTCTAGTGTACAAATGCATTGAGAGTTTCTATGATTTCGATTGCCCTGTGCTCTTTGAATGTTCATCTTTCGAATTGCTGATCTTCTGATTCCGTTCAAATTCCATGAATGTCTGGAGGCCATGCTGGCGACGTCTACTCCTGCAAGCTTGGGCCATCAACGATCTAAGTGCGACTTTGACTGAGCATCGGCCGCCATCACTGTGGAAGATGTTCACTGCAGGCACACGAAGGGTTCCAAACTCACTCTCTCCCAGGGGTCGGCGGCAGGGGGCGTAGCCCCTTAATTAGTAATTATCTAGTATATATCATACTAAATTAGTATCATATCATATTCTATATTCATATATTAGTACCATATTATCATATTATTAGTATCTTCTTTCGCAAGTTCAGATCAACTCAACTTTCAAATCTTGGAGCCTGGGCCTTCTCTGACCTCGCTGCACGGCACATCTTTGGGCGAGGGAGTCCGCGACCTGATCGGGGCCAAAACATGTGAATTAAACATCATCTGGGGATCTATAAGCAATAACTCTGGTAATCCCATGCCCCGTTCATATTAATATCCCCAAAACTAAACCATGGTTTAGTAGGGCATTACCACATAATTGGGATCATTTGGGATGTTTGAGACGGCTCAAGCCGTGCCTTGGCTGAGCTGGCTCCGGCTGTCCAGGCATGTCCTGACGGCAGCAGTGGAGCCCAAAATGACCCAAATTGATATATGTATAGTATATATAGTTTATGGAGGTTTCCTAAAGTGGCGGTACCCCAAAATAATCCAAAATAAGACAATTTCCATTTCAAAACCCAAGAAGTTTAGAGAGAAACCAATGACCCATGATGGCCCATGGGATTTTGGAGTTACACATTCGCAATCTAAAAAAACATCAGGCACCTTGCAAAAGGCAATGTCCAACAAGAAAAAAATATTATCTTCCAAAATCATCCAAAATCACGTTTTGGGTCGTTCATCGTATTCGTGGGTGTTTCATTATTTCTTTCTGGTGTATTGCTGTGTTTCTATTTCTGGGTGTTGCATGGTCGTTTCCAAGGGGTCTTTTCTGCGTTTCAGCATCTCTAGGTCGCAGTATGTCACAGTCGAATTGATAGCCCAAAATAACTCTTCATAACTCTTCCAACTTCAAACATCTTCAAACATCTTCAAACAAAACTGGATATCATTGCGAGTTCCAGGAGGATTCTTCGTTTCTCCGTGACCAGCTCTTGGGTCCTGAACAATGAGTTGGGCCGCAGCCAAGGCCGCCTCAGAGAGGTCAGAAAATCTGGGCACCCCGCCAAGTGATGGGGAAGATGATGATCAAACAGTGAATTTGGGAGATTTGGGGAGGACATAATGATGATATAATGATGATGTAATGAATATAATTATTGTTTTTTACTCCATGTTTGGGGGGACAAATCCATGTTCAAGCAGGATCATGGCAAGGTGCCAGCTTCGGGTCACACAGGAATAACTAGAAACTTCAAACTCTTTCCATGACGCAAAGCAGACATAGTTGAAGCAAATTGCCACGACAACTTCAAACTCATCCATGTTTACGTCTCTATTTTGGTTGGAGGGTGTTGATAAGAAAAGTCAAAAGTGTCAATAGTTCTCCTGAGCAATTATGTATAAAGTGGCATGTTGATTGGTCATCTTCGGAAGGAAAATCGTTCATTCTTCCTAAGTTTCTACAAATAAGGCCTTCAATCCAGTTGGCCATCACCAGTTGCCAGCAAGAGTAACCCTTTGACCGACCAACTCATCGTACCATTGGCACAAACTTCGCTGAGTGGCATCAGCAGCAGCTCTCGCAGCCTGCGGCAAGTCAAATATCAAACACCCAAATAAAGAGACAAAGCACCTACGCACGGTGCTGTGGGAAAACAAGTAGTAAACCATATTAAATATGCCTTTGTAACATTTATAGCTATATTCACGGCGTTTTGGGAAGCATCAAAACTGTGGCCGGGTGAACTTTGCTTGACAAATTCTGTTAGGCTGTTCGGGAATCAAGCCACCCGATCCATTGAATCCATGGCTCCAATGGGGCTTTAATCTGGATCATTCTGGACCTATAACTTATAATGGCCGTTGATAGCCTATCTGCTTGTAGCCTCCATGATCCTCCCTTGTGATTCAGCATAGCTTCTAGGCAGCCACCATCAACCCTGTTTCACCCAGTTCATCTATTGTACATCCCCCAGTGTAGAAAGCTCAAACACTAACATCTAAATCTAAGTAAAACAACATTGGGAAATAACACTGGAAAAACAACAAAACAAGGCAGCAACTCCACAATCACCATCACCATAATAATATATATATATATTTATATATCACCATTTAAAAAAAAAAAAAGTGGGGAAAAAAGGACAACATATATAAAAACTCAACCCCAACTCTTGCGGTTGCCCACCTCACCCGCTGCCCTGGCGGCTTCCAGGGAGGCCATGGTGCTGCCCGCGCTGCGGGGCCGGGAGCTCAACGCCTAGGGCAGGTGGAAAGACTGTAACATTTCTCGTTTTTGAGATTCATGTTATGGCTGAAAATCATCACAAAACAATAATGTATCAGCTTCTTTACCATTTCCCAATGTTTTGACCCATTCTGCAGGCGGGGAACGAGTTTTTGAAACTTTTCCCCACAGTCTGATCCGTTTTGGTGGCTGAGGAGCCTGTGTTTCCAAGATTCTCGGACCCAATTCTGGGCCATGTTTCATTGCTTTAAGTCTTTGGAAAAAACATGTTCCCTTGATGCAACCTCATTTAAGGCGTTCGCCCGACAAGGACCCCTGCCCTGCAGTCCGCTGAGAAGTCACACTGGTGTTCGCAGGCGTGTGAAGCCATCGGACCCCAAGAGTGGATTGGAAGGCCCTAGCATCGGCGATGGCAGCGATGGGCCAAGGAAGAAATCATAAACACCATCAAACAAGCGAAGAAATCATAAACAACCCATCTCTACCCATTTTCTACTGTAAATCAATTGATATTCTCTATGCATTCTCTATACTTTTTTGGTGGCGATATTCCCTATGGTTGATTGGTTGGACAAAATATGTGTAGGTTCCAATGATTTCAAATCGCCTTAGTTAAGCCAGTTCCATTGGTCAAATATACTCCTCCTGTTTCTTGTCCATTTGCTCCTGATCAATTACACCCAAGTAGCAAGGTCACCCAACACAATCCCTCCATTAAACAGAAAACAAATGGCTATTGGACCAAGACCTCATACCAAGCTGCTCACATGAAATTAGGAGCATCATTCCCGATCCCCCCCACCCATCCATTTGAGAAATCTTAGTTTGTCACCCAATCCCCCTAAAGAATCTAAAATCTATACAGATATAATATACACTATATACGCATAAATCTAAGAAACGCCACTAGGAAAGCCACATTGCCCCATTGTTTGAAAGGCCCGAGGCAGAATTGAGAGGTCCCGCTCGCATCGTGCCTGGGCCAAACTCCTCCCATGCCGCCTGCGCCGCAGCCAAAGGAGTGGCAGGAAATCTGTACCAAGTGCCTTCACCAATTTGTGACCCTTACCACGTGGCTGGTATATTTGCCTGCTTACATGAATGGGTGAAATTTCAAGTTTCTGTTGAATGTAGGTTATATCATGGTTATATAATACATAATTGCAAATATGCAGTATCTGGCCATGGATCTGGATGATCTGGGTTCTATGGCAGTTGACTGGTGTGAGGACATTGGGTTGGTCGGATCAGATTGCGGATGATTTCCTGACTTTGGGCCCTTGAAACTCGATGGTTTCGTTGGACCCACATCAAGAGCTCCGTGGAATTCACTGAACCCCATTGAATCCAAGCAGCGCTGCGTTGGCCAAGCCCTGCCAAGCCTTCAATTAGCTAGATGAAACCACCTGATATTTCGAAATATTTGGGGCGATCTGGGATGGTTCTCCAGGTATCAATCATCTTTTACGCTCATGGCGGCACCCTAAAACAAGTTGTCAGCAACCCTCAATGATGGTGGTGCACCTGAGTGAAATCTTTGTTGCTTTATAGTTACAATGACCACAAGCCCTACTTTCAGACACCTAAAAACAACTTTGCCCACAGCACCAATTGTAAAAATATGCGAACATATAATGTCTCCCAGAATTTCCGGTTGCTATCTCCTATAAAAGGTTGAACTTCCTGTGGGCCAACAGAAATGGGGATAGAATGGTATTGCCCTCGACCTGGGTGAAATCGTCGCCAAAGTCGAAGACATGACTTTGCTGACATCCACTCAGTCACTATGCATATTACCTGCTAAGTACTTTAGGGACCAAGAGGGGGCTTTGGTTCGAATTGGGGCTCCTATTTCATCCTGCCTGTTGATGCAGGGATTGGGGCGTGCGCAAAGTAGAGGCAATGTTAAAACCACATCTCTGTGATTCTTTTCTTCCGCGGCTGCCCTCCCATATTTTTTTAGCACGTCCTAAAAATATAAAATATAGGATTCGGACAGCAGGGCGACTTTGCGCCAACCTCGCTACGGATCTCCAAACTGATCGGCAACTGCTAAACTGTCACCACCCTCATTTGGGTTGCCCCAAGCCACAACCGACCCATCCGCCAGGAGCGCAGCAAATGCGCAGTCAGTTGCTTGAACCTGCTGGACACGTTTCAGCTGATCCTCCACGTGAGAGCTGTCACCGCCAGAAAATGGATTGCCCCAAGTCACAACAAACCCATCCGCTAGGATCGCAGCAAATGCGCAGTAAGTTGCTTGAACCTGCTGGACACCCTTGAGTTGATCTTGGACTTCAGAGCTGTCGCCGCCGTAATCTGGATGGCCCCAAGCCACAACTGACCCATCCGCTAGGATCGCAGCAAATGCGCTCTCAGCTGCTTGAACCTGCTGGACACCTTTGAGTTGATCTTGGACTTCAGAGCTGTCGCCGCCATTATCTGGATCGCCCCAAGTCACGACTGACCCATCCGCAAGGATCGCAGCAAATGCGCTCTCAGCTGCTTGAACCTGCTGGACACCCTTGAGCTGATCTTGGACTTCAGAGCTGTCACCGCCATAATCTGGATCGCCCCAAGTCACAAGCGACCCATCCGCTAGGATCGCAGCAAATGCGTTGTCAGTTGCTTGAACCTGCTGGACACCTTTGAGTTGATCTTGGACTTCAGAGCTGTCACCGCCAGAATCTGGATCGCCCCAAGTCACAAGCGACCCATCCGCCAGGATCGCAGCAAATGCGTTGTCAGTTGCTTGAACCTGCTGGACACCCTTGAGTTGATCTTGGACTTCAGAGCTGTCGCCGCCATTATCTGGATCGCCCCAAGTCACGACTGACCCATCCGCAAGGATCGCAGCAAATGCGCTCTCAGCTGCTTGAACCTGCTGGACACCTTTGAGTTGGTCTTGGACTTCAGAGCTGTCACCGCCAGAATCTGGATCGCCCCAAGTCACAAGCGACCCATCCGCCAGGATCGCAGCAAATGCGTTGTCAGTTGCTTGAACCTGCTGGACACCCTTGAGTTGATCTTGGATTTCAGAGCTGTCGCCGCCATAATCTGGATCGCCCCAAGTGACAACCTGGTCACCTCCAGAGCAAAACAACGCAAAAGCTCGGTGTGTTTTTGCTGCCTTTGCCTCTATGACAATAGCTGTCAGGTGGTCTCCATCTTCAAGTCCTGCAGCTTGCAGAGACAATGTAGGATCCACCACGCTATGATCTGCATTCACAAGCCTCAAGAAGCCACGTTGAAATAATTTCTGCGCCAGAACTCTTAAGCCTCCTACTTTGGCTGACTGTGGGAGCGAAAATGTCTCACTCCAACCGCTTGGCAGAGACACATGGATTTGAAGCATCTATCAGCAAGAAAACCATTCAAAGGATTTCGAGGTATCAGTTCCTTGAATTTATCTTGAACCAAACTGCACCACTGTTTTGGCATCCACAGTGGTGGGGAACTGGTCCAGATTCATGCCACTATGCCATTCGAACTTGGCTTACTTGAATCTCCCAGCCACTCTGGTCGCGATAAAAGCGGTTTCATGGCCATAGTTGGAACATTTATCAAACATGATCAAAATCAAACATGATCAAAATAGTGCTTTCAAAATAGTGCTTGGGTAAAGTCCACAATCTTTAATTTAACATCCACGTAAAAAATGTGATATTCCCCAATACTATACATCAAAGTGGGGGTCATCAGCAATGCGGTGCACCTGCCACAAACACTCCATTCATAACTAATTATTTACATCCCCATTAATAACTTTATCCCATGAATGTCTCATTCCAAATCATCTGCATAACCATGTTCCCATATTCCATGAAAATCAGGTTGACCGGCTGACCTCATGATCCTCATCTTGGAAGGCCTCAGGGGCAGCGCAGGCGGATCTGATATGAGGGGGGGGATATCGTGTAGAGATATGCATATATTATATTATGGGGACATAGTGTGGACATGGAAAAAATGGGATATAACAGGGATATAATGGAGATAGAATCGAGAGGTGATGTAGATACAATGAAGAATGCATGGCCGCAAAATCACCAAAAAGATCGGATTCGAAGTTATTACTGCAGTAGTCAACAATGGAGATGATTCCTATATTCTGCTGGTGCATCAAAATGCAAACTGGAACCTTGATCTCTGGTGGACCAGTTCTGCTGAATTCTTGTTGAGTCCCCATAATTAATTACAAAGTCTTTGGTTGAAACATGTTGAAACTTTGAAACAAATCCAGAAAAGAAATATGCAATTTCCCAAAGTCATTGGATGGATATGACTGATATGTCATGAGTCATCATGAAATATCCAAGACATTTCCGTTTCTAATTCCCATGGCCCTCGAAACCGCCCGCGCCTGCCATAGTGGAGAGTCCAGGGGCTGCCAGGCTGGTCTGCCCTGGAAGTCAAAAAAGTGCTTGTGAGTTCGGACCATATCATCCCAAATTATGGTAATAGGATATTGGTGGGATATTGATGGGATTTGAATGACATGAATATAACCAATAATAGCGCAGAACATGAGTTATTATGAGATTATGGAAATTATGAGTTTTTATCGTCCCACAAAGTAAGCAAATAAAACGACTTGAAAGCACCAACCAGATTGGAGGGCCGCGAGCTTCTTTTATTAATCTTTCCCTGAGTAACAACGCTCAAATTCCCTGGTTTTCTGCAGGTCGTTTGAGCAACAAGAAAAACAAGAAACATATCTTATGAATATATAATCTACAAAATAATACAATGACAATACCACCCAAAATTCCCGCCACGTCCATCCGATACCATCACTCAGTCCATGGCCGAGGGAGTCAAGTATACGGCGCGACCGCCGGGGACACCCATGGCGTGAATGGCTGGGCTGTAATTTCTTTGGGAGACTAATGGGCTGCAAGGTCTTGTTGGTTGCATCTATTGGGGCAGTCGGTAACAATTATCAAATTGGGCAATTTGGGGGTCTCATCTTTTACCCCCCTTACTATCTAATTACTCATCTGGAATTGAAAGAGCAGGTCAGGTGTTTGGCTTTGGGTTCAGTGGCGCTAACATCAAAAATAAGGTAAGGTCAGGGGTCACGGCAAAGTGTTTTGGTTTCCTGATCTTGCATCCCGTTCATCGTTCATGAACTACAGTTTCCAGTGTCATTTCTTTTGACATTGAGAAACTACCAACTACGACTTGGCCAAAACATTGCAAAACAAAGAGGCTCAAAGCGACTACAACTCACCACCGCAGGATGGCAGCTAGCACCACGATTTCCGCAAAAATGAGAAAATGAAGGACCGAGACTGAGGACTGCAGACTTAGACTTAGACACATGAATAAGTAATATACAAATCGAATCGGTGAATGGTGCACCTTGTTCAAATAACAGAAACAAAACATGAAAAATAAAACAGAAGGCATCAGAAGGATGCATTTCAAAAAAGGGAAACGTGTTTAGTTATTTATGCAATAGGTACGGGTATCAAAAACACGCCAAATCCTCAAGCAGCATGTTGAAACAATATCAAAATCAATGATCCGAAAATAACACGACAAAAGCACAAAAGGCCAACTTGGAGCAACATCATCGTCCATGTCCCCATACCACGTTGCCTGTTGACATGCCATATTTGGATTAGACACTTGGAGCTCCTTTCCATGACTGTTTTGGCCGCCATAGCATCGAAACATGTCGCGAAACATACTAGGCGATGAGTCAAAACCCCGGTCTAGTATCGTGGTTTTCACATCAAAATATCTGACATAGCTGGATATGAACATCGCCAAAGGGTATTGACCCATATCGAAACATTGGCTGATGTGCACATTTCAACCAATCTAGGCCTGCGACAGAATGCACATTTGAACCTTCCTATAGACCTGGTTCCTGAGTTCTCAAGAGCCAGGATGGAAGAATTGGATGTCGCAGATTTCACACCTTTCAGGATCAATGATTGTCACCAATCCCCGTTTCTGGCCAGATTTTCTTCTGGCTGGCAGCCAAACCAAAGCGCACGGATCAGAAATCATGAGCCATAAATCCTTAATGCGTATGTTTGCTTTTTTCCGAACTCGTTTTGTTTGACTGCCCACGGGCATCTATGAATTTCATATCATTAATCATCATCCCATATCATCCCCATCATTTGAATGGAGCTTCTTTTGTGACAAAAAACAACAAATCAAATGGGCCCATGGAGCCAATCTTCACAGGTACAGGGTATATACCTCCACCTTTTGCGTGTCTCCATCTGACACTGGTGCGTTCATCGCACTTCCAAACCTTGCAAGTCGGCGAGTCGGGAGACTGAAAAAAGCGCTCAAGAATGGTGCGAATATGGCAAATATTAGATGCCATGTGACAAAATGTTGTTTTAAGGTTTAATTCCAATTATCCATTTGATGCCAAACCTTGACCTATTGACCTACCCAACCAAGGTCTACCCAGTCACCAAACATTAGGATATGATGGGGAGATGAAGCAACAAAAACGAGATGTGATGATGTGTTTATGTATGGCAAAGACCACTTGAGAGTCGTGCTTTCCAGGCTCCAAATGCACCATTTTTGCGGATTTCAGGGTTCTCCCATCATGAAGACACCTGCTGGTATTTGAACCTGGCAAAGGACAATCCTGAGACAATTTTCCTACATTTAAAAGTGTACTGATCCATTGCCATCCAGCAACCATGATCTTGCCAACTTCCAGTCTTCGTTCGGACTTCCCCTGACCTTCATGACGTTGATGTAGATTCCTACTTCTTTCCTGGCACCCAAGATTGGTTTGAGGGAAAACTCTTCGCGGAACACCTATAGATTTGGCAAACATGTGGTGTTCCCAGCCTTCTTTTCACTGATGCGTCCCCAACCCTCAGAAAACATACCAAAATGATTCGCATGAATCATTGGCGATTCGTCATGATGAAACATAGAATCATGGAGGAATGTATACGCATTCAAATAGCACTTGAAATTCAAAAGCACTATCCCAACACACAAGCATCCTGACTACGGGGCTGGTTGTTTCAACTCCACTCATCAAAAAAAACAAAAATTGTACAGTAATGCTTAGTTTCTGACTTCCAGGGCCGTCCCCACAACCTTTGGACTGGCGCAAATAGGGGCCGCACAACGTGGCAGCGTAAAAGTTGCGAACTGGCTGCCAGTCAGCAATGTATGCTGCATGCTGCGAGGCATCCTGTTTGCAGAGGTATCTGATGGCGTAAGATTATCACCTAATCTGGATGGATGAATACTGACAATGACGGATTTCCTCAAAATTCTCCAAACATCTTGGGCCTATCATTCACACCTCCCTGACAGATCTTAGCTGACTTCTATCTGGGTATGAAATAGATTGCAAAAGTACATCATGAATCATAGTGACACCAATGGCTAAAACAAAATCAACCAACCTACACCTAACCAGTGACTTTACCGAGTTCATCTCAGGGCCCTTTTCCTTCGTCTCGGCAGCATCCTCCAACTCTTCCCAAACGACTCGTTGCTGAAACTTCTCACGCGCCTCCGAATCGAGTCAACGGTTCAAGTGATATCCCTCCTATAGTATATATGGCTATATGATGCAGAAGTAATACAGTAAATTGGTATGATATATATATATTTGGTATGATAATATTGATCAGCAGTACCACGAAAAGTGGATTGGGGATCAGTAGTGTCACTATTCATCCCATGAAAGTCATATCAGTTTGATTGATCAGATGATAATGATCCTTGGGGTATGGGATGGCAAAATCTCGAAAACTACCAGAGTTCCGTAGCAGCTGCAAATGGGATAATCAGTGAATAAACAGATTGACTCCACATGCATCACACCAATATATATGTAGGATCTCACTATGTTCCGATCATCACCCTTAATGCGACCAAAGTCCACTCCACTTAAACAATCTTAAACATCCATTCAAAACCTGGTGTAATTTTCGTTTAAGGGTGGGAAACCACCGACCAAGCTCAACTTGACTGTCCCAGGAATGCCATCCAAACTTAAGGCAGCTGCAAGTCAAACAATTGGATCCCAAAATGGTTAGATCCAACAGGATATCATATTCCCTGAAAGGCAAATGACTCAGTTTACCCACCACAGCAATAGCAGTCTTTGATTCACAATTAACCCAGAGGTAAAGTTAGTCATTGGGATCTTCTAGTACTATAGTATATCCTCAGGTAATTTAACATAGCTATGGAAAACACACCACTTATAGATGATTTACTCTTATTTACCGATTGTAAATGGTGATTTCCCACAATTAGCTTGGTTTAACTACCAGAAGGTATATTATAATTATGAACTATATAATTTAGTTATTGTAGATTCTCAGGTTCAATATGCTCCAGCTCAAAGATTCCCCCGCCTCCATAAAGCCATCGACATCGAGGTTGATTCCCAGCCGCTCTGCGCATTCGTTCACCACAGTGTGCTCGGGACACTGCCAGCCGACCTGCAGCATGGCTCAAATTTGGTTTGGCTGATGGTGAAATATTCACCAGCATCAGCCTCAGCATCGTATAATATCGTGTATATTACATACATATTAAAATATATAATATTATACAAATGTATACTACGTAAGTCTATACTAAACGGTATATTACCATGTATGGAAGGGTGGCCTGCTTGTTGCCACTGTCCCCTCTGGAAAAAATAGGTACGAAGACTTCCGACTCCTCCATTTTGCCGACCATTTGGCTTTATGACTGTGGGAAGAAGCGATGGAGATAACCACGGGCTAACACTCTTGGAAAGGAGAAAAGTGTGTTGCGGGGAAACCAATGGTAGGGCAAAAAATACAAAGGGCATACTCCATCTCAGTTTGGCTAGGAAAGGCATGGAAAGGCCATAGTTGCCATAATTTCAAGGGCAACAAGTCTTGGATATGATATGATATCTGAATGTATCTGAACAACAGTTGGTGATTCAGCCAACCATCCTCCGTTGCCACCAAGCCGCTATTGCATAGGCCCGTCCCTTGCCTCTCACCATGGCATCTCCCAGCATTCCTCCAGCAGCCGCCAATATGGGACAGGCCACCACAGCCACAGCTGGTCCTAGGAAGGCACCAGCAATGGCTCCTGCGACCCCAAGGGTTGTCACTTCAGCCAGGGGCATGGCTCTGCACATCAGCGGCTCCAGATGCAGAAGCACTTCATGCAAGTTGACTGTCTTGATGAGTTCTAAGAAAACCTGCAGTGAGGAATGTGAGGAGCCATGAGTTTGAAACGGGTCTGGATGTTGGGATGGGTTATACAGATACCTCCAAAAACAGCGCGTTGTCTACCAATCAAAAAGGTAGAGTAGAACCCGTTTGTAACAGGTAGGGGGGTACTGAGTAAATCGCGTGACCGCAACCGAGGATGGTCACGAATCGATTTGGTGGTCAAAGAATAAACAAGTCATCAATAAACCATGTCAATCCGGATTACTAATATTTATGATCAGTTGATATATATATATATAAATACTATCTGGTTGGTGGTTTCAACCCCTCTGAAAAATATTAGTAAGTTGGGATTATTATTCCCAATATATGGAAAAACTAAAAAATGTTCTAAACCACCAACCAGTTATGTATGAGACAAACTACACAAATCTACTTCTGAGACCAAGAAGCGTATTCAACATCCATCTCTGGCAGTTGCTCTCGCAGTTTGGTCCTAGAGCCCGATGCCTGGCATTTCCTCATGGCCTCCCGTACGCTTCTCATAGTGTCCAAGTCTGCCGGGCCCTGGGGACTGCCAAAATCCAGCCTGCAGCTTGGTGGTGACTAGGAAATTGGGGGATCCGTAGCCATCAATTGGATGAACAACTGGAAAATGTTGGGGGAATCAACTGGATGAACCCACTGGGAAAGTGAAAGAACATGGCTTGAAACCACAAGCCCATCGTCAATATTTTTGTTGTGGACTGGAGACTAAAAATGAAGATAAAACATGATGAAACCATCAACCAGCAGCAGAACTTCCCAGGGGTAGGCTTTTCCATCCGCATAGACATCCGCAATCCGGGTGGCTTCCAATTGCACCTCAACGCAACTGATAGGCATGGAATATCTGCCGCCTTTCCTGGAAGGTTCTGGGTTGTGAACCATGGGGCTTTGCACCTCTGTCAATCAACCAGCCAACCAATGCGAAAAACAATAATATAACATATGTATATAAAATATATATAATTATATATTATATATAATTAAATATCGAATCTATAGTTGCTGAAAGAGCTCAGAAAAATGAAAACCAATGGATTTAGCAGATATCCTAATTGAGTGGCACCATACATCCCAAATGGTGAATGATGGATTTCCAATTCACTTGACGGGGGAACCAAAGCTGATAGATGATGATAGATGGACTTCTAGTTGGGAAAAAGAAAAGACCTTGTGAGCCAACCCCATGGCTAAGCTCGTATATCCAGCAAAACAACTTGATGCTAAGGTGGGTATGGTCTTCTCCTGCTTATGACCGAAACATACCACAACAAGTGTTAACAAACAATCCTACCCAACAAAACATTACCTAGTGAATCCAAGCTTCAAACCCCTCATGCACTTGCCACATTTTAGCTCTCGCCTCGCCCGGCGCGCGTCCTCTACCAGTCGTTCGAAACAGCCAGCGCAATAGATCCGATGATTGGAAGGGCACTGCAGAAGAATGTCAGCCAGGTTGGCGCAACAACAAACACACCAATCGTCTCCCAGCATGGAGTCGAAATGAGGCGACCAACATCTGTTTTGGAGGCTGATTTCGTCGAGCCAAACATGGGCGGAACAATGCCGAACATGACAGGTGCCGGGTATTTTTTCTCCAGTATCGAAGATGGGGGGGTCTGCTACTTGTTCCATATTCTCTATGCATTCTACATGCAATGTATTGATCATTTCTGGACAGTTTGAAGATGTTTGAAGTATGAGGACAGCTTATCCAGCCCAAGAATGCAACAAAACGATGTTTGAACTCAACCTATAAAATGTCAGGAAAAATCTCGCGATTTGGCATATCCTGGTTTCATCCACGCTGTGCACAAGCGCCCTGAATTTCACATTGCAGGTGTCTGGACAACTCCGCTCTTTCGCCAAAAATGGCGAATGCATCTCATAGATGGGTTAAGATAATAAACATCCGCATAGAACCCATAGTTTTGGGCTCCATATATGGGAAAATTTCAAATTTGGTGGAAGGGACAAGCTTTTCTAGACAAATAAGTCAACCCGCTTCCATTCAGCACAAATTACAAAGTATCACAATTCTCAAATCCATCCAAATCAGAGAAACATTGGGGGATGATCCACCTCAGTCCCACCTAACATGTCCTCACCATTTGCCGTTCCATTCCCAGCTCCCCATGACCCACAACGCTTCACTTTCTCACGCGGCGAAGGGGCTGTCCCTGGTGGGTTCTGCGGCTTCGATGGCCTGGAAGAGTGCCAGGCAGAGAGCGCCCAGCGCCACCTGCACTCCGTACAGACCTGGGACCGGAGAAATGGCTACCAAATGGGTTGCTTCCCTCTGGTGATTCTAATCGTTGTGGAAAATGATTGTGGATGACTTGTTCAAAATGGCGGTTGTCTATAGTTATGTTGGATTACTTGCAGGGTATGCAATCTTAGAATTATTGATATTGGAGGGATTTTTGGCAAAAAAAATGCCAGTAATATCCTGAGATTACATCGGCTTAAAAGTAAATAAGGATAAATCCCGTATATTTTGGACATCAGAATGTAGAGGTCTAAGACTAAACCCCGATTTCGTGCTGGGATGGTGGTGATAAGTCTGGATGGGCACCCCAGGCCATGATATCATGTTTCCCCCACGAGATGAACTGTGCAAAGCGACGTCGAGATGCTTGGCACACGTAAGGGATCCCACTTAAGATGAATGATTCAATGATGATGTTGTTTATTGTTGTTTATTGTTTTTTCAACATCTTACACCCAATCAAAAATCCCCAATCTTTACCACTTCAGTTTTGTTCCGCTTATAAAGTTCACAGCTCTCAGGAATCTGATGGGTCCACCTTTCCAACCGCGAAACGTAAGACCAAGGTCCAGCCGCCCCGCCGCAGCAGCTGCGGCACTTTGGAGTAGATCCACATGGCCAGCAGATTTCCTGCGGTCCGCGTGGTGGTTTGCCAACGGGGGAAATGTAGCACAAGATGGCTGAAATACCCAGTGAAAATGATGAAAGTGATGATAAACATTGATAAACCATTGGTTTTTTTTTGGGCGCCCCAGTTTTGGACAGAGCCATATGATATCTGATTGATGCTTTCAGCCTCCCTCGAGAACAATACAGTTAATGAGGGATCATCATCATGCCGAATAAGCTCTAATGAAAACATATGAAAACGGTACTTGAAACCACCAGCCGGATGTTAGTTGTCTACGTATGATGGCGTTGTAATGGCCAGTAATGCATACGTGATCACAGAGTAATTGTAGCAATCGCAGGCGGCTCTTTTTCTTCACTGGGAACTGTTCTCCTGAGACTGTGCAAATAAGAGGTTCGAATATATTCGAACGTAATTCATGTTATCTCCTCATCTCTCTGGTCCCAATTCTGACTCAAACCAGTGGTAGGTATTCTTCCCCACGGTATTCTCCACAACCAGTGGCCTTTCTTGTCCCATCAAGCAAATCTCGAGGCTGCACCTGGCGCATTTCAACGATATTCTGGTCGTAATTGCCCACCAGGATGATGTGAATAATGTCATCTTCCAAGCAAAAGCCGCGCCATCCACTAGCAGGCGGCACAGCACTGCGCCACATGGTAACGCGCATTGCCAACTTCAAATTTCACCACCCAGAAAGATTCCTGCCACTCCGGCCACTCCTGCCAAGTTGCATTTGCATATGGGCCATCCTGGGCTACTTCTGCACGAACGTGATTAAGAGCTGATGCTGGGAAGTGCCTCAGAAAGCCCCAGTTGCCCTCATAACAGGCCAGACTATCTTCATCTGCTCCCTGTCTCCCTTGAAAAACAGAACGTTGTCAAATTGGAGCGGCAGTCAGCAGAAATCCGTGGTCATTTTCACTGTTGGTTGAATCCGTGCCATGTGAAACTAATGCGGCCAGGGCAGGCACAGCGCCCGTTGGTAGTGGTAGCGTTGACGCAAACTGCCAACTGAGTCGTATTGTGAGAAGGCCACACAAACGTTTACTCATCCCATCCCAGTCTGTAATTTCGGCAATCTTTCCCATTGTTTCTGACAACTTGCAGGCCAGCGCTTTGCTTATCTTCTACCGTGTAGACCGAACTACTGTGGTCAATCCAAAAGCCTTCAAGGCCCTTCAGCGCCGAGCTCCTTGAAATGGTACCTCTCGGCACTCATCGCGGAGCTATCAGCACCAGGGCTGGGCGCGCCAGTGTTTGCGTCTATGGATGTTCAGCTGGCTGCATGACGACTGCTCCCAAGGTTGGGCGGCCACCATCATGACTGGTGAAGGGTTGCACACAGGGACCGCGGGAACAGGTGCATGTCTGACAGGCTGGCTGAGCGCATCTTCCGAGCGAATCACTGCATGAAGATCTCCGAGCAGCTTCCACCAGTGGTCACACAAACATTGTCCGCCTGCATCTGTTGCTCGGAGGAGAAACCTTCCCAGAGAACCACTACCAATCCCTGAATCGTTGATCGCCTTGGAGAGAAATTGAGGCTGGCCATTCTGAACAATGGCCAGCAACACTCTCTCATTTTCCAGGATATCGTCACTCCAAGCAAGGGTGCTTGCAGAGCGAAATCTACTGGTCAAAACACTGAACGCTCGCAGCTCTCTCACTGGCAAAAAAGCGCACATCGCAAGACATTGATCTTCCAATGCTACACGGAAACTGAGGATCGCCATGAGAAAATTGCGCAGCTGGATCCTGGCTTCCATGAGGTGTTTGCACCCAAGGGAAATTTTATTGTCGGGCGAAACTGGCGGCACAGGCGAGGCGGATGCTGCTGCCATGTCAGGCAACTGCTGGAACAAGCGCCGTGAAAGCTATCAAGACTCAGCTTCACCCTGTCTCAAAACCACGGAAGCGAAATTCGCTAGTCACACAGCGCCAAGTCATGCAAACCGGAACATGGCATTGAAACCCCAAAGGCTTACTATCTGCTTACGACCAATTGAGGATCAATAAACCAGTTTTATGATATTGCTACAGAATTTGCATCTGTTGTTGCTTAAACCACATCAACCCCCAGTTCTGCTCCATTTGACCATGATTTCAAACTATACCAACCCAGCGTGGTTGTATCCACATTTTTTCTTGGTAAATTGCGCAAGTGTCACAGTCATGTTCTTCCTTGCTCCTAACAATTTCTTGCGGGCCCAACCCTTCCATCACCAGCCATCCGTTCCCCTCCTGGCACATCGTGCAAGCCAGCAAAGAGCCCCGCACGGGGGCCGCCCCACCTGTCACCAAACTTGGTCGCAACATGTATAGGGATATGTGGGGATGGGGACAGGGTCGGGGTTCCCAGACCCAGAAATTCATGGCATCCATGTTTATGACTTGTAGAACCATCCGATTTCGGATCAATCTTCTGTTGAGCCATGGTGCATGTGAGCTATACCTTGTTGTGAGGGTTTATGGGCCGGCAATAGTCATAAATGATGGTCTTTACACCGTTGGTCAGACTTCAATGTCAGCCTGTCGACCTCCGTGCATGTCAGCACAGGGGACTTGCGAAACACTTCTGTTGGGGGTCCTGAGGGGACCTTAAATCATTTGGAAAAAGAACCAAGTGGGATTTGGTTTGATGGTCTTAAGGCTGCTTTTTGGGCCTCATTCCACCAACAAAATGTTTGGACCACATTTCTGACAGTCACTTCGCCTGCCTCATGATCCAGTCGGGAGGGACACATGACAAAGCTGGAGCAGAACCTGATATAGAAAAGGGGCAGCACTACAGCCAACATTTGGTGCCGCACGGGTTTATTTGTTGGGGAGGTACCGTGACTGGGAGTACCCTTGAGATTCCTGTGTCTTTTTCTTCCAGAAATGCTTATCATATGGAGTAGTTTGGGTTCAAATTTGGGAAACATCGCGGGGTGGGGCAGCCTCCGTGTTGCAGACATGAGAGTTGATCCAGCGTGCCATCATACGATGCGATTTTTGATGCAGAAAATGTATCCTCAACCCATGAGCCATCTCCAATGGGAAGGTTCATCTATGGGGATTTCAGACATACAAAAAACGAGAGCCAACCAAAGGTCGGTGCTTCTTCAAACCATTCATTGACAACTTCGAACCATTCTCCGTTCAAGTGTGATCAGTTTGTTGGGTTCTGCCATGTTCCAACACTTGCATGTCTGGATACTTTGGAAGCACAATCGCAAAGCTATATACATTGTAATGTATTGAAGGCCATCATTTGCATGTGGTTTATATTCCCAAGTATTCACCATCATTTCCCATCATTGAATAATAATGGCAGGTTCTTTGAGGTCTTTATCAATTATAGAGCAAAAGTTGGCTTTATCCTCATTTGCATTGGCTAAATAACATTTTTCGATGTTGAATCAAATTCGACTTTCAACAAATACTGTACCCCAAGTTCGGTATAATTTTGGCGGTATCTTGATACGAACCCAAATTCCTGTCTCATGTTCCATAAGCCATATCGACCTTTGTATGCACCCTTGCCTCCACTGATGGTTACAAGAGCTGGCATCAGCAGCTCTGGTGCAGGTTGCTTAGATAGCCTCAGTTGATGAGAAACATGTTCAAATTTGATAAGTTTCTTGGCATTTTGGGGGAACTTCAAGACCCACTGATTTGTGCATCGTTTTACTGTTACTACTGATTACTACTGACCATCGCATTTTAGAGGCACCCAGTGACTTGTCTCATATCCAAATGCTGCGAATTCATGATGAACCATGGAATGTGTTCTTGTCCCGTTTTTTCCTGTGGGTATGTCAGCGATTGTGGAGACCCCACAAGCCACCAGATAAGATCCTCTGTCTTCATATGCTGGAAAACCACAATCTCATGAAATTGTTTGACGTATTTTTTACTCCAAACCATGGGTTTCACCATGCAATGTATGCATTTTCTCTGATGGTTCCCTTCAACCAATTGAGAAATTTCACGATGACATCCCCTGTGTTTGAAGTCATGTTTTGCCTAGAAACAAGAAAAATGCCATCGCCGAAGCACTTTGGGCGACCAGCAAACTAGCTGCTTTGCCACTCCTTAGAGCGATGTGGAGGATGTCAACCATGGATGAATAGCCCCCATGAGTTGTTTGCTGGGTGGTCACCAAATTATCACATACTATCATTATATGCTATATCATATACTACTATATTATAACATGTTATAACCATCAGTGAATGGGAGGCTCCAATTGGCAGGAACTTATCACTAATTGCACGACGCACCGAGGTAATTAATATACTTCTAAACGAATCAACCATTACAGGCACCCGTGGAAGTCAGGACTAAACACCACAGGGTTGGTACAACTGCATGGAACGCACCGGTTACGTCGAAGTCAGAAAAGGCGGGACCTGGATCAGAAATCTTATTGGTAACGCTTCAACGCTGGGGCCAAATATCTACATCAAAATGTTACTGGAGATGTTAGTTCCTACTGGAACGCTAATGGAATATTTCTGCTAATTCTATGTCTTCATAGGCTTTTCCTGCATGGAACGCTAATGGAATAATTCTGCTAATTCTATGTCTTCATAGGCTTTTCCTGCATGGAATCGCTACTACTGGATATCTAAATCTGCACCACACTTCCCAGAATCTGCTACAGGATCCTTTTCACTTCTTCACATATCGCAAAGCACGATTGTATTTCTCAGTGGACAGCCACTTCTCTTTTATTGATGCTTCAGACCTGCCCAAACCACCTGAGCAAATCCGCATGTGAACTCCGTTTCTCAAGACTACTCCTGCCAGAATCTCATGCGCAGTGTGTTTTAATTCATACTGGAACTCCGGATTCACAGGTAGCAGCAGTAGCAAGCAGCAGCAAGCAGCAGCAAGCAGCAGCAGCAAGCAGCAAGCAGCAGCAAGCTGCAGCAAGCAGCAGCAAGCAGCAGCAAGCAGCAGCAAGCAGCAGCAAGCAGCAAGCAGCAGCCAGCAGCAGCCACAAGCAGCAACCAGCATGTGCCCCCTTGAAAGAATGACCAAATACATGTATAAGTTTGAAAAATCATGGCAGAAGTGGCTGTCAGGACAGCATCTATATACCATAGTTTCCATTGGTATACCCATGGAAGTTGCTGCAAGATTTAAACGTGCCACTTTCAAGCTGTCATGCAAAACCCAAGCTAAACGCAAAAAGTGCCGACTTACCCCAATTGCTTTCCCGCATGGAAATGAACCGTTCAATTGCAAACAGAACCGATTTCCACATCCACCTGTAGCTGGCTAGAATGTTCACTTATGTATACGGCTAAAAAATGAACCTAGTGTGGCGCCAGTTTTCACATGTTCATCCATTGGGCTGGCCCTCAAGTAGACCCTCAATTCTTGTGTTTACTATATGTTGCCCGCATCTTGGATTTGCTTCAAAGGGCCAAAACACAACAAAAAACAACATATGGGTGTGCCTCAAAATAGGCTACAGCCCCAAATGACTATTTCAAGAGGGAAAGCGATGATTAAGTAGCAGATTTCGCCCCATTTTCAGACCCAGGTATATTCCCAATAGATTCCCCAAGTGGATCAGGGCCAAAGCCACGGGCTCACTTTGGGCAACATCGCACCCGCCAGCAAAATGGCCGGAGGGGCGGAGAGTGGAAAGGCAGCCGCCAGCGAACCGATCTTCACGTCGTTCATCTTGTAGACATCCTCTGGGAGCTGATAGCTGATGAATACACAAATGTACCGGATGACACTCATCAATCCATCCCAGGTAAATACATCAATCAATCATATACTGTAAATATTATATACTGTATTATACTGTATTGTATTTGAAGGGATCAAATTGATGACCAAGCTGTTGGAGAAACAGGTGCGAAACCCTTGAAGCGCATGGAGAGGGTTCAGAAATATTCAGAAAGATGTAGTGTATGGTCAAACTTATCTGCACCAAAATTGGATTATTAAATTATATAGAATTATGATATAGTGATTTGCACTAAGATGGCACACCGAAAATCACCGAAACAGGTGGGTCTAAGATGGCATCCGTCGTTTTTGGATTCAAAAAATCGCAGGGGTCAAAGTGGCCATCAGGGTTCAGCGGGGCCAAAGATGGCACAATGCTATTCATGAGGTCCATCTTAATGACGGAAGACCAAACATATTATACAGCCAAAAAGTATGGAGCCCGCACGAGCCAAAAGTGAAGGTCAAAACAGGTGCACACTTCTTGCAAAGGGGTGGGGTCACACGACCATTCAACCGGGGAAGACTATGCAAAAATGAAGGTAAGACCATGCAAAATTGCAGAAAACACACTGGAGGACCCAAGAAAAAACCATGGAAAATGGAGCGGCACAAGCCACAAGTGAAGGTCAAAACGTACATGGAGCTTTCCAATACAAGACAGGTGCATACTTCATGCATATGGGGGTGTGGCACACTAAGATGGCACACTAAGATGGCACACAGAAATTGGAGGAGCTTCCTAGAATGCCATCAGAAGCCACAGGACACGGTGAGGGAATGAACGCCTCTTTGATGGCATATATGCGTCGTTTTGCGTGCGCCATCTTATCGCAGTGCTCTCTCTCTCTATATATATATATTATAACATATTATAACAATGTTATGCAAATATGTATATATATAAACCTAGCTACATATTTAGAATCTGAAATGGTCAAAACATTTCTGGTTTTGGCCCAAACCGGATCACACGAAAACTGTCCAAACTTCTGGGTGAATTCCCCGGCGCTCATTCAGGAACTGTGGTAGCAGCGCCACGAAATCGAAGGTGGGGGTGATCATCGTGGTGGATGCCTCGGTTGGCAAAAATCATGGTAGTTCCGATCCTTAAAGTTTTCCTTAAACCAATCTGAGTTTTCTTATGTGTTCTTGTTTTTGATTGTAAATATTTGTAAATACTAAGGTTATGCTTGATTTTGGGCACTTAAAACTGACATAAACTGACCCATTGATCAGATCGGTTCACTTCCTTTTGGGTGAACTGGCCTTGGATCTATATAAGATGGACTACCAAGGGACTTAAACGATCCTAAACCTTCCCATCAAATGGGCCATAAGATAGGAAAACAATATTACCAAGCGAAACATAGGGATGCAAAACAATAGTAATTGAATATCAAAACAGGTAGAAAACAGGTAGTTGGTGATTGAGCCGACCATGCCAAAAATAATGAAATAATCTTGGTCAACTGGGGGGTTGTTCCTGTTTGTTTGGGGGTATGTATTTCATATCGTAGTCTTGTGCCACAAATAAACAAAACAGCGTTGTCATCAAGCTACAGTAGTTTGGCACCTTTACAAACGAAGCCAATGTGGGATGAAAGACTTACAATACTGCCACAGCACCAATCGAGTTTGGCCAAATCCCCATCTGATACTATTTCTATCTATTTCTGCTATAGTGATGATCTCGCCATCTTTATTCATACAACTCTCTTGTGCGTGAAATTCTCCATTCTCAATTTTGTTGTTGCTGAAGGTTCACAAGTAACTGAATGTCCCACACATATCCATTGATCCCATTCCCCTAATATGGAATACCACCCAAATGGCCCCCCAAATAAATAGACCTACATCCTAAGACCCTAGTGACCCTAGTGGCCCTAGTACCTTCCGCCAGGGTTTCGTTTCGAGGGACATGTTTATACATTACTAGGGGGATTTAATGATGATTTAATGATGAAACTGAACATCTCCAAGCCACAAACAAGAGCCACAGTCTCGGTGTCCGTGCGGCAATGGCCAGGGTCCTCCCCAGCGCAGCTTTGGCCGAAGTGTCCAGCTTCGTGCTCAGGTCCACGGGGCCGGTTGGGTCATGGGATGCCTGCCTTGGTGGGACCAGTGGGACAGATATGGACCAGGAAAACACACAAAGTTATACATTAAAACCTGAAAAACACATCTAGTTTGTACATTAAACTATTTAAGCGATGCAAATCAAACAAATGAATATATATATATTGTCAAATATGGGCCTTAGAATGAATGCACACATTAGTGATGTTGGCACACTGGCTATGACAAATGGTAGCCAAGACATGTTCAAACGCCAAGGATCATCATAAATATCTGGTCATCAAAACTCATCAAATGTCATCAACTGATATAATTTGTGAACATGGATTCCTGCTGGTTTCCTGGCGCCACCTTGCATGATGATCCACAATCCAAATGCTATCTATGAGATATGCGTCTTCATGTGGCTGTGGATCTTTCATTACTGCTAGATGGTAATAATAACCCATATGGAGCCTTTGTGGATAAACCATGGTGTCACCGTGTCAATTCATCATTCCCTGATTTGGTGCAAGCTAAAACTGTATTTTCAGGTTTCAGCTGGGATAATTCCTATTACACCCAAATAGACTGATAAACCTAAAATCCGTTAAGCATCTGCAGCTCAAACTCTTTTTACCTGAGCCGCAACAGCTACCAAGTACATGCTATATTACAGTGTGTTTTATGTGAGGTGATTTTACACCCCCCTCAGGTGAGCCGGTTACGGCGAGGATGCCACATTTACCAGGGCGAGGTCTTTAAGACCTGCCTCACCGAACCTGCTCTTTGCAAACCCAAGGGAAAACACACTCGGCGGCTATGATACAAAACCGATCGTCGATGCAAGTAGTGTCACAACTTATCCCTCTTCCCACTCAACACGTCCATGCCTGATGACTTTCTCATACCAGCGTCCATGCCACTTCTGCCATTCTCCAGTGTAGCGGCGATCATCGTGGGACTGACTTTGCTGAGGGCGGTTGATCCACTGACTTGCAGACGTTGATGAGGAGGCTACCTCTACGGTGGATGGTCGGGCAAGCGGTTTGGCGGTGCCTTTCTTGGAGGGACCTTGGCCGTACGCTCCAGTCTGCTCAGCTTTGCGCTTGGCCTCGTTCTGCTCGCGAGCCCTGTCAGACTGCTTCTTCTTCTCTGCAGCATTCTGCTTGTACAGCTCCTCGTTTTGTCCCTTGATCCACCTCAAATGGCGTTCAGCATCATGAACGGCAATGTTGTCAACACCCGTACAGGACAGCAAAAGATTGTGTCCAGGGTTCCTGTCGAGGTAGTCAATGTACTCTTCCTCGGAGTAGATTTCAGTACGGTACATGTAGAACCATGGTTGGTCAATGTACCTGAATGATTTTGGGACATCATGATGGCTTGCCAAATCCAAGTAAACCAGCCTCATTGCATTGTGCTCCAGCTGAGATTGCTCAGAAACACCCATCTTGACCTGAGCTTTGGTGCGACCCGGCTTTGGCAAATGTGCAGACTTGAGGAGGTCGTACCTTTCACAATCGTACTCGTTCTCCCCCTCGTTCAGCACGCTCTCTGCGAATGTGGCGTCCTGGGCAAACCTGTCAGCCACAGACACATAGCCTAAGCTCAAGGCACGGTCGAAACGACTCTTCGCCCTCGCCAACAAACTGGCCTCCGGACTTGAGCTTCCCCTTGCCTGGTCGTCCAACAAGCCCAAAGATTCAAGCTGAGCATGTGTGATGCTCTGCAGGTACTCGCCACGAAAATCATAGTACAAGCCCAGCTTGTGAAGGGCGGCCTTCCTTCGTTCTGCAATCTTGGTTCGGTCGGCCTTGTTCACCCCTTCGAGCATCAATCCACACACATCGCATTCAATCTGTCCCTTGAAAGTCTGTGCAAAACATCTTGAACATTGCGTGACTTCAATCTTGACCGGCACCGGCTTCTTGTCCTCCTTCTTCACCTCTTTCTTTGAAGGTTGGTCATCGCCTTTAGGGCGAGACTTCTGCTTTGGCACCAGTGACTTTGATGTTGATGCTGGCGTCTTTTTGGGTGACTCTGCAACTGGAGCTTTTGGATCTTTCTGCACTGCCTTTGGTGGTGCAACCTTTGGGGCGGGCTCCAAGAAGGCCGCAGCTGATGATGCCGCAGGCACAGCTGCGGGCACGCTTGTCAGGGCTGCCTTCTTCTTTGCAGGTTCATCCTTTGCTGCTGCATCAACTTCTGAGGTCACAGCTTTTGGAACTTCTGGTGCATGAGGTGCAGAAGTCCCTTCCTTCGGTGATTGTTTTGGAGGCGTCTTTGGCGGTGTCTTTGGGCCTTCAACCTTTGCTGCAGGAGGCTTTGGAGCTTCGCCCTTCGGGGGAGGGGGCAACAATCTGCTGCTTGCATATCCAGGCATACCGGCAAGTTGGGCCACATTTGGTGGCGGGGGCTTCACCTTCCCTGGGAAAAATGCTGTTGCAGTGGGCGCGCCAGTTGAGGCGGCCGGAGATGTGGAACCAGTCCATTTTGATGCCTTGGCCTCGAAGGTCTCGACAAGCTGCTGGACTCCAACTTCTCCCCCACTGCTCGCTGCAGACTGAGCAACCTCCTGATGGCGGCGATACACATTCACCTTCTTGGCAGTGTCATCGACAGAGATAATGTATTGAGGTGGTACGACGTCGCTTGTCAAGATGCCGTCGGAAGCCGTCCTGAAAAACACAATGCCAGCTTTGACAGCTTCCGCCATTGCTACCCTGATTTCAATGGGTCTTTCAGCACGCAAACCACTCACATACTCTTTCTCATCGACACGCACTTCGCTAAAATAGGAGTGTGCTCTGCCTGATGAATTTCGATCTCCTCCTCCAGGAACGAAGCCATTCTCAATGATGCCCTTCCAATTGCCTTTTGTAGTCCTGTGATAAACTACGCCAGGGCACATCTGAGGAGTGGTAATCTTTTTACCTTTGGCGTTCATTTTCTGGATCGCTGTGGCTCCAGACAGAGCATAGATTTCCACAGCATTGAACGTGTCCTCAGCCGAAGCGGCCTCCATGGCGCGCTTCGTGTGCCCCTGCACTGCTCGGATTCTGATGGGCCAGTAGGCTAACCCTTTACGGGTTGCCTTCTGGTACCCGGCAATGCACTGGAACTCAAAGCGGCACTTGTTGTCCCAGTAGAGCAGTGAAATGAGCTCTTCAACAGTCATTCGAGGCAATTTGGCTGGCAGCATTTGGTTGAACATTCGAAAGAAGTCATCAAGGTCAAGCCACATGTTTTCATCAAATCCAGAGGTGTCCTGACCCGGCTGTCCACGCGTCACTGCATTGACCTTGGTTTTGTGTCGGTCCATGCGATCTGGGTACCTCAGCTCCTTTGCCCCATCCATCTCCCAACAGGTTTTGACAATCAATTCATAGGGATGGGTATCAACGACACAATGTTCAACTACTTCTGCATTGATGTTTTCATCCAAGGTGATACGATATTTGTCAAGGTGCCCAAGTGCATGTTTCGGAATGATGGTACCCTTGATCTCGTTCTCCTGCAGGGGCTCACCAGCTGAGGTGGCCTGAGTTGAATCCTCCTGTGTCGCTGGAGCTTTTGCCTTGGGGTCAGGTGGAGCTGCGTGGCTGGCCTTGGCCTTGCCAACCGATGGTCCCTCGTGCTCATCGGGATCCAGAGCGTCCCATGGGTCGCCTTCTTCATCATCATCTTCAGCGACACCAGCATCGGTCGGGCGAGCTCTCAACTCCTCTGCAGTGAGGCTTTCTGGCGTCGAGACGCTCGGTGCAGGCTTGTTCACCTTCTCCCGGAGGGAATTGAGAACCTGCACAAACCTGACTGGGAGGTGCTCCATCTTCGGTGTGACATCACGCGTTGTAGCTTCACCTGCAGGGCGCCTGCGCTTGTACAAAGACAGGTTGTACTGAGGGATCAAAATGTCCGTCATGTGCAACATGTGGAGAGTTGCCATGACATATCCGATCATTTCACTTCGGTTGAGCTCGGTCTCGAACGCGTGAAAGTAGTCCCTGAGCTCAAGCCTCGGTGGGAGCATGTCATTCTTGATCCACCGAATTCGATCGTTGTCACTGGCAATCTCCTTGTGGAACCATTCCTTCAGTCGATCGATAAACGTCGTGAAGATGAGACTCAATCCATAAGTGAGCGGGTCGGGCTCGCCGATTAGGGCGGCCTGATCCACTCCCAACTCCTTGAGCTGATTGTTCCACCAAACGATGTTGCCTTTGACCCTGTCCATGATGGCATTCCAGTCGCCCTGTGGTTCCCTCTGCCCCCAAATGGGAAGGGGTTCAACACCATATTCCCCACAGATTTCATTCCCAGACCAAACGATTACCGAAATAACCCTGATGGCTGATCCATGAGAAGAATATTTCGCCATCAGCTCCTTGATCATGGAAACATTTGCTTTGCAGAGCTGTTGCAAATCCTTACCCCAGAGCATGTCATGACCGATTTCGAGAACCATGTCTGACTTTCGCAATCCCAGATCCTCCTTCAAGGTGTACTTCTTCAAAGTCTTACCCTTTCCAGTGATCAGAGCCAAAGTTGAATCAGAAGTCACCACATAGATGGTGGGCACGACGTCTACCGCCGGCCTTGATGTCCCAGGAACATACTCAGTAGGCAAGCTCAGATCCCACAGCGAGTCGTGCTCGAGCTCGGACAGATGGCGGATCTCCTTTGCCCACGGCACGTTTGTCAGGGCGTCAGTTGACATGGACTGCGCAGTAAAACACTGCATGAATCCTGCAGCCATCTCAAGGTCTTCTGTTCTGTTGCCCTGTGCCAGGATGGTTGACGAAGCGAGGACCGTGGAAAAGATGTCCTCCCACCCTGCGTGCCTATCCCCCTGAACATCAAGGCACTTCCGAAAAGCAAGCCACTCCGACATGTTGCTCTGTTGGGGCACGGTCTTTAAACCGGCCGACTTGAGAGCCCGCACGTTCATCTTTTCAGCAATCGACAAATTTGAATCATCAGAACGGCGGCTCATGGCGGGCAAAGCTAACCTTTTCCTGTTCTTGGCGGTTTGTGCCCGGTTAGCTCTGGA